TCAAAAAAAAATTTAAAATTCAAAAGAACATCTTCATAAGCATTCAGACACACATGAAATGGCCCTTGTTCTGAATTATGCTAATGTTGGGATTCCATCCACTTGCTATCAGCTTTTTGGGATAGTACCACCCTGGCCAGTCAGCAGGCAATGGTACAACAAATTTCTTGCTGTACAGGTTAAGTTGAGGGCATTTGTTCAGTACACGTTCAAGGGCCATCTTGTAATGTTCCATGCTCTTTAAATCTTGTTGAAACTCATCAACTAGCATACAAGTCTCGAGCGTCTCAATGTCTTGTGTTGTTGGATCTGAGTACACCCTGTTCAACAGACAGACATTACAGATATTTACAATTTCATTGCAATTATTAAGTCAATTTTTTTTTGCTGTTAACCTGTTGTCTTTCTCTTTTGTAATAGACATTTTTCTGTGATAAATGGGTAACAAATAAGACTAATGTGTACCTTAGTTCATGTAGTGCTGTTTGTAGTCTTCCTGGATCAAGGCTTTGCATGTAACTTGGTAGCTGGTCCCAGAACTGTTTATTCATATTCCTTAATGAGTTTGTTATTGTTTGCAGGACATCATTCATGTCAATTCCGCCAGCACAGGTCCTCTGCTCTCCATTTACATTTATTGTCACTTGTCTGTGTAAGGGAAATGCAGGCCTAGGGACTGCATGAACTGATGGATGAACATCTGCCAAACAGGATGCCATGTGAATGACATTTGTCCGTACCAACTGTGATGGTGTATGGAGTGAGTGGATGTTGTGGAAGTCATCAAGCATTAAAACTATAAAGCATTGCAGCTGTTAAGAAAGACAAAAAGCAAAATTAAACACAACACACATAAACTGTTGTGTCAATGTTATTTACTGTATGAGGAGATTTCATGATGATTCTCTTTGTTTCAAAGCTTTTTCTTGGGCAATTGGTACACAACTGTTAGATATTAGATATATTTACACCCAAGGGACTCACCTCATTTACCCTGTGAAATTGTTGACAAATGAAGCTTGTGTGTTGTACACTTAAATTAGCTTTTAACTGCTGTATTGTCCTTGGGGTTGTGCTGTATCCCAACACCTGGCCAGAAGATAGTCCCCGTAATGACATGCCACAGTTGGATGCATGCAGTCCGCTGTCCTTCTGTAGGGCAGACGTTTTTTGTGATCTGTGACAAATAAAACAAATGTTATTATACCAGTTATAAATGACTGTGTGCAAAATTATATCCCAGATCACTAAACTCAAAGTACATACCTAAAATAAGCCAGGATGTGAAGTAAAGCCACTACTCTCTGCTCTTGCAGCTTTCTTCTGTTCTCAGACAGGCTTTTACCTCCTGTAACACAGGTAAGAAGATCTTGAAAGAGTCCGGGGCTGGTTTTATTCACAAACTGTTTCATGGAATCTGTATCATAAATCTTTATGTCAGGTGTGGTAACTTGGTGCCTGTAAAGAGCCTTTTGAAATTCCTCTAACTTCTTGTCAATTGTTGATTCTAAAATAAAGGAACCCAACCGTTTAATACAAAATGTGTTTTATGTGTAAATTAATAAAACCTGTTATTCCTGAGAGCTGTTGTTTCAGCATCTCCATTTGTGTTGTCAGGGTGTGACATTTTTCAGCCTCCTTTTGGTAAAGTTGGTAAAACTCTGTCTCCTTTTCCGTTAAACTGGTCATCATATCCATTTTCTATAAAGAATGTAACAAGAACATGTTGGGGAAAGTGAGTACTTGTTACTGACTTGATAAAATGTAAATGCAAACTAACCAGGGAATTGCCAATATTTACCTTACTTCGTTTTCTTCTTACCATACCACTTTCTCCTTCTTTTTTTTTGTAAAACTTCCTTTTACAAGCATGGCACCACTTGCTCCCTGGTCGGAAGTTTTCGTTTTTTCGGCCGTAATTATCAATAATTCCATAATGTGTCGCTGGAATCTCTGTAAGTTTCTTTGAGTGCTTCTCTTGAAAGGGTGCAGAGCACCGATTGTCTTGGCTCTCGATCATCCGCAGATGTCTGAGGCAAACAATGGTGTGTTCCGGCAACTCTGCTGCTCTCGCTAACCCTGGTGGTAAGGGTTTGCTAGGGCCATAACAATCCTCTTTCGAGTTTCTGGTTCTACCAGAAAACCAACACCCAAAAACAGACGGCAAAATGACAATAAAAAGCCAACAAGGTGTTGTAAACATCGCCGATAATTTTCACTAATTAGCCGGGTTCGCAACTTCACTTAAAGATCACGCGAATGGCCGTTTTCGGCGCGAAAACAATTTTTTCAAAATTTCTACACTCACTAGATTTTAAGGAAAATGTTTTTTCTTCTCAAAACTGTTGTTTAAACCCTTATCTTTTCAACTGTGACCTTATTTTTTCAATTTAAATGCCGTCTGTTTATTTCCCGCGAAACTGGAGTCATTTTGAATGAGCGCGCGGCTGAGCCTGCGTTTTTTGCCGCATGCCACAGCACATGCGCAGTCGTTTTTCAGCCCTGCTCCATAAACACAACATATTTGATATGAATCCTTGGAAAAAATAAACTTGAGCCTGCGATCATTCCAAACTGGTAATTTGTCAGCGGATAACTTCAAAAAATACTCGACCTCGATGGGTCGACACTTGAGCCCGCGCTACGGTCAGGTGATACTGGTCAGCGGATGCCCTGTTTTGACAGCTGTCAATTGATCACAACATTGATGTGAAATTGGTTTTCTCTTGGGCTCCCAAACTAGCTAAAATGTGAGAGTAAACATTGGTTTTCCTGTGGTGCGGACGGACGGTCGGTCGGCGGTCGGTGTACGGTCACGTGATTACCAAATTTTCTGGGATGGGTAGATTTACTTAGCAATGGTGCTCCGCCCACGCGCGCGCTTCGCGCGCGCGTGGAGCTCCGCTATAATTATACACCGGACTGTTTTCGGTCAGGTCGTTTCTTCCTTAAGCTTTTCATATAACCCAACCCACAGTCCTGCTTTGATCGTTTTAAAAAAAGTTTTCTCAACTTATTTTTCAAGTAAATGTATGGAGATCAGTCCCAAAAATTTGCATGTGGATACTTGTTAAGCGGACAGTGTATTATCCTTCAGTGAGGGTCCCGTGGGGTGTTTTGTAAACTGAGATCAGGTGTCATTTTTTCTCTTTTTTTTGCTTCTGTGACTCGAGACATAAAGGGATAATAGGGAGAGGGCATGATCTCAGGCTAGGTGTTTTGCGGGAAATCAAACTCGAAAGACGAAATCATAGTTTGGGAAATGACACTTCTTGTTTGATCCACAGACATTGTGGGAAGGCTTGGTTTGTGACCCGTTGATAAACAGAGACGGCCGGGCGTGGGAAGTAGGTCCACTTGACTACCACAACTACTGTAATTATGACTCCTCGTATAAATACGATCATCCCATGTCAGTAATGGAAAAAGTGGCTGTTCACATCCATGGCTTGAATAAAAAAGTCGCCTTTGATCCCCCGAGTTACTGCAACCATTCTACTACCAATTGCTTCGGGCCTTACAATAGCCACGAAACTGTGACATTGAAGGGAGGATGTTCCTACGCCTTTACAAAGAAGTGCCCATAATCCTACCTGCACTATTTCTGCCTAAAAGCACGCTGTTACTTCTTCTTTTTCATTGAATTTTCATTGTTACTGAACTCCCGTTTGTTATCTCACTGTCGACAAGTACAAAAGTGTATTTCTTTTTGTTACGGCTTTGACAGATAACAATGACCAATGTGAAAAACAAAGCCCAAACTGGAATTTATTCCTCCCTAACACAGAGAGTTATCAGTAGTAAAAATGCATAAACTGCCTTACTTGTACCTTTCCCATATTGGAAGCAGAACAAAAAAAAAGTCAGTGGAAGGTAAATAATCTCATGGTATGTTTTTCGTTTTTGCTTCTGTAATTTACTTTCACATTCTGTAAATGAATAACACCAACGATGACAATGATGATGATGGGATATGCAGTCGATTTACTATATATTGTTATATAATACTAGTGATATAGTTTTTTATTATGAGCAAAATTTATTACAGATTATTGCAGTGAAAAATTTATTATAACTACCACTACTTAGAATAAAATCACAAAGATATGAACTACGCAAAGAGAAATAGTTTAAAGGTGTTCCTCTCTCTTACCACATCTCAATATCATTGTTCGGTGTCGGTTTCTTGCATATCAGTAGGCGTTTAAACTATTGTTGGTAGCTTGAACTACGGAAAGCGTACAAAATTGGGTTAAGACATAAAGTTAATTCAAACAGAAATGTTGATACGTCGCCAAGAACAGAGTATAGTTCTGAGTCATAATTTTGTTCATTATCTCCCGAAGCAACAAGAATGTAGAGAACTATAGAAGGCCCATAACCGATCAAAAACGCTAACTACGCGACGAGAAATAGTTTAAAGGTGTTCCTCTCTTCTTCTCTCTTACCGCATCTCAATATCATTGTTCGGTGTCGGTTTCTTGCATATCAGTAGGCGTTTAAACTCTTGTTGGTAGCTTGAACTACGAAAAGCGTACAAAATTGGGTTAAGACATAAAGTTAAGTCAAACAAAAATGGTAATACGGCTCCAATAACAGAGTATAGTTCTGAGTCATAAATTTGTTTGTTATCTCCCAAAGCAACAAGTATGACGAAAACTACATATGACTCATAACCGATCAAAAACCCTAAAGTCGCTAGGAGAAATGTCCCAACCAGCTTCTTTTTCTCCGAGTTTCCTTCGTCATCATTTTCTGAGCAAATTGTAGCAGTAAAGTAAAGTCCCCTTATCAATGATCCATAGCAGAAAAACATGATTGCCGATTGTATAATGTAAATTGAAGAATTTATAAGTATATAAATTTTGCTTGCTAGATTCATGCGTAAAGTCCACGGACCAACACATGTGTTATGTTCCTCGCTCCACTCTTTAAGGACGAATTGTGGGAAGGAAATTAGAACACTTGCGGTCCAAATGAAAACAATGGCCTTCTTGATGTTATTGTTGCTTAACCGGAGTTTCGAGGAGTTCATTTCTGAAAGGTTTTAGCAAGGCGTGATATCTTTCTAGAGCGAGAACTGTGAGTGTAATAGAAGAAACCATAATACAAATTCCGACGATGCTAAATGCCTTGCAAGCGAATGTCGCAAATTTATGACTCACACGTCCAAGTTGATCCTCAGTAAATTTCTTACAAGGAATCAACAGAATGGTAATGACATCGCTAACGGACATGTTAGGTAAAAGGTAATTCGTTGGCGTATGTATCTGTCGTGTCTTATGAACGATTCGGATAGCCAATACATTTCCTATAAAACCAATGGCAAAAAATAGAAAGGAAAAGTAAGAAAGGAACCGATATAGGCTATCTTTCATGCTGGAGACCGTTGTTAGGGCTCGTTTAAGTCAATAGAAATTCGAATTTAAGATGTCTCCTTTACGCTCGTCCAGCCGTAGTTCGTAGTCCGTAGTCTCCGTATCTTAAACTCCCTATTTTTGACAAAGTATACCACCTAATTATTATTCAGTCATATTTTAATCATCAAGTGACTGATAAGGTCCATTTGCATCGTATTTTTTATGAAGGGGCCTTGTAATAGTCATACGTAGCTTTATGATTAACTCTAAAGGGTGAAAAGGGCTCCACAACGTTACTTACCAACAAGCACGCCCGGTTTGTCTTTTTCACCGTTCTTCAAGTAATACGAAAAAAAATTCCCTTTGGTTAACGGCTTATTTCTTTATTAGCTTTAAAACATCTGCTTAAATTGTTTATCTTCCGTTTTATTTTACAATTTACTTGCCTAAGAAAAAGGAAAAGAAAAAGCAATATTCTTAGCCTGAGTGAATTTAATAGTGTAAAACAGACAAAGTTAAAATTAGTAACGAATTATATATCGTCAAGAGCCATAATATTATGGCTCTTGATATCGTTCAATATACGGCACTGATGCTGGAACTTGAATCTAAAAAAGGAATCAGTTTGTGATCAGAATATACAACAAAATCATTATCAGCTTCGCGTGGTTTTGTCATTTTAAAACTGATGCCTTATTAAACACAAGAGCCATTATAGCTAAGGTTAAACATCAAAACTCGCGGGTGGTTTTGACGAGAATTGGACTAATCTTTACTTTGAACAGTTATGTTGTTATGGCTCCCTCTAAACTCTCCATGAAATTTGTCGCGCCAAATTTTTGTGTAAACGATTGTTGTTTTGCATGTGATGTTTCCATGGCAATTTTAAATCATGATCAAAGTTGTCCTGACGTGTAAACTTTCAACTTAGACATCTTCTTGATTCGCTGTTACCTTGCAAGTTTGTTTGTTAAGCCTAAATGGTTGATTACAGCGAAAGCCGTAACCCATCTCCTTCTAATAACACTAATAATTGAAAATGCCCGGTCTAAAAAGAGTTCAAATAAACAGTGTCACAAAAAAAGTTGTTAAGTTTGTTAACTAGAACAACGGCCATCTTAGGACACAACTAAACGCTGCCTGCGAAGCCTTTGTTATTCAAGTATCGTCTGACTATTTTTGTTTGATTAAGAATCACTGAACAAAACATATAGCAGAACATTAATACTGTATCTCGAACTGGCGAAGCTATACCTTTATGTAATGAAGTCAGAAGAACCTATGGTTTTCTCCAAACTGCAAGGATCGTCCCAGAATAATAATGTACAATTAAGAACAGGAACAAGCAGAAAAATCGCCATCATTTAAACATTATATTCAGCATTGTCAAATCGTATTGTGTGTGTTGCTGCGAAGTTCTCAGACCTCAGCTTTTCTTCGACTTCACGTTGGGACTTGGAGTATCTGAATCAGTGAATGTCGTCATCCTGTGGTGTTGGCTTCCAAAAAGTTGTAAGAACGCGTTTGAAGCCCTCTCTAAAATGGGCACTTCGAAAAGCGTAAACAAGTGGACTTAAACATAGACTGCAACTAAACAAAAACTCAAACGCATTCTCAAGATCAGAGTGCAGGTTGATATTACATTATTACTAAGATAATGTGAAATAGATCCATTAATACCACTGGACCATGCTGTTAAATAATTGGCCACCATGCAATTGCATGGACGTCTCACATAACAAAAAGACTACAATTTATGATTAGAAGAGCGTTATGAAGTCAGTTATAAATAGCCATACACCTGTCTTTGGTCCTCCCCATACCGTGAAATTCCGAAAATAAGCCCCTCCATGTATAAGCCCCTCCAAATATAAGCCCGTCAAAAACGTAACGCAAAAAACGTTTCGTTAAATGACCCCTCCGAATATAAGCCCCCGGGGGCTTGTACATGAAAACAGTGTCCTCAAATACAAAGTAAAACAAAAAAAAAGGTAAAATTCCTTCCAACTATAAGCTAGCCTAATCGATTTTTGAACCGCAAATGTCCCTCCGTAGATAAGCCCCTCCCAATGTAAGCCCCTCCAAAAATAAGCCCCTCAAAAAGGGCCTTTGAAAAATAGAAGCCCCGGGCTTATTTTCCAAATTTTACGGTATCTTAATTCCCTTCCCTTTTTTCGGCATAACAACTTTTCTGCATACTAACAAATAATTTTCTCCATACTGCAAAAATTGTCTTCCTGCCCAGTTACCGGCGTCATTCTTTTAATACTAATAGACGCCTTAGTTATTATTAACTTATGAATGAAAATCGCTTTATGAATAATGTGTCTACAATTATACACCGGACTGTTTTCGGTCAGGTCGTTTCTTCCTTAAGCTTTTCAACAAATTAACCATGCATATAACCCAACCCACATACCTACTTTGATCGTTTTTAAAAACGTTTTCTCAACTTATTTTTCAAGGAAATGTATTGTGATCAGTCCAAAAAATTTGCATGTGGATACTTGTTAAGCGGACAGTGTATTATCCTTCAGTGAGGGTCCCGTGGGGTGTTTTGCGGGAAATCAAACTCGAAAGACGAAATCATAGTTTGGGAAATGACACTTCTTGTTTGATCCACAGACATTGGGCGAAGGCTCAGTGTGTGACCTGAAGATAAACAGAGACGGCCGGGCGTGGGAAGTAGGACCACTTGACTACCACAACTACTATCATGAATCCTCGTATAAATACGGTCATCCCATGTCAGTAATGGAAAAAGTGGCTGTTCACATTCATGCCTTGAATAAAAAAAGTCGCCAATGATCGCCGAGTTACTGCAACCATTCTACCAAGTGGCTCAGGCCTTACAATAGCAACAAAATTGTGACATTGTGGGGAGGATGTTCCTAAGCCTTTACAAAGAAGGGTCCATAATCCAACCTGCACTATTTCCGCCTAAAAGCATGCTGTTTCTATTCTATTCTTCTATTTCATTGAATTATCATTGTTATTGAACTCCCGTTTGCTATCTCACTGTCGACCAGTACAAAAGTGTTTTTCTTGTTGTTACCACTTTGACAGGCAACAATGGTCAATCCGAAAAACAAAGCCCAAATTTGAATTTATTCATCCCTAACACTGAGAATGTTAAAAATGCATGAACTCGCTTACTTGTACATTTCCCATATTGGAAGTAAGATAGAAAAAAGTCAGTGGAAGGTAAATAATCTCATGGTATGTTTTTCGTTTTTGCTTTTATCTCTAATTTACTTTCACATTCTGTAGTGAAGAACACCAACGATGACAATGATGATGACGGGGTATGTAGTCGATTTACTATATGTTATATAATACTAATAAGATATAGTTTTTTTATTATGAGCAAAAAATGAGCAGTGAAAAAATTATGATAACTACCGCTATTTAGAATAAAATCACAAAGATATGAACTACGCGAAGAGAAATAGTTTAAAGGTGTTCCTCTCTTCTTCCCTCTTTCCTCATCACAATATCATTGTTCGGTGTCGGTTTCTTGCATATCAGTAGGCGTTTAAACTCTTGTTGGTAACTTGAACTACGAAAAGCGTACAAAATTGGGTTAAGACATCAAGTTAATTCCGAAAGAAATGTTGATACAGCTTTAAGAACAGTGTTCATTGTCTCCCAATGCAACAAGAATGCAGAGAACTATAAAAGGCCCATAACCGATCAAAAACGCTAAACTCGCTAGGAGAAGCCACAAGCTGGTTTTGCTGAACGAGAAAAGAAGCTATACTGCCGCCTCGATTGCTCTAGTGAATGGCTGCATAGCCTATATTTGTAGCTGGTTACTTGTGATTTATATTCTTGATGTCGGATAAACAAGCCGCAGTCATCTATCGGCGAGTGACTCGATCGGCGAATGGCTCCGCGATCATGAAGAAACAACACTTGTCTTCTTTCGTAGCTGGTCAAGGTACTTTATTTCCATGTGCTTTCATGTGTTTTTCGACAAACTTTCAAACAAGCTCTTGTGGCTTTTTTTGTCTGTTTTTGTCTTTTTTCTTTCGACGAAACTGCATTTCTAGTATTCTAAGAAATGAATTAAAACGATTTGCTTCGGGTGCCGTTCTATCCTTCGCGAAAAAAAATCTCAGCTAGCTTCCAATTTTAAACTGACGCGTACACCGACCATATATGGAGAGCATGCTATAACAGCTCATGTACCATAACGGCTAAGCCAATCAAAATGCTAGAATTGCATTATCCAACGATTCAGTTTTTAATAATTAACAATTATTACACGAGGGCGCGTTGGATATGAGTTGGCTAACTACCATCTCATATCCAACAAGCGCGAGTGGAATAATTGTTTTATTAAAAACGCCCACAAAATCTCGTTGAATCTCCCCGACTAGAGTAAACCGGAAAAGACAAGGAACTTCCGCTATTCACATGTCACACGTCTATCAAATGACATCGCTAACGGCTATGTTAGCTAAAAGGTAATTCGTTGGCGTATGTATCTGTCGTGTCTTGTGAACGATTCGGATAACCAATACATTTCCTATAAAACCAATGGCAAAAAATAAAATGGGAAAGTGAGAAAGGAACAGATCTAGGCTACCTTCCATGCTGGAGACCGTTGTTAGGGCTCGTTTAAGTCAATAGAAATTCGAATTTAAGATGTCTCCTTTTAGAATAAACTGTTCGGTAGAACATTCGATATCACACAAAGTAGTCAATTCTCTTTTATGCCACATGTATAAGATCAATTCTAGTTTATGCAGCGCCTGTTTTCTTTGATGCTCTGCCCAAGTATTTACAGCGTGAGCTGGAGCAGCTTGGAGCGGGTCCAAAAAAGGGCATTTGTCAACCATTTGCCGCAGTCTGTCTTATGACGAGGTATTCCAACCATTATTTCATATTGCGAGGACATATGTGACAAGGTTTTGAACGTTGCCCTCGGCAACAAGGATAACAAACCTAACATTTAGTTATTAACGGAAGCCAATAAGGCTCATATTGACTAAGAAAACACCGACACTCAGTTGCCCTTCTAAAGTGGAAGACGTATCGTTTTAAGAACGCTTTCATTTTGTCAACGTGCCTAAAGTACAATTAAATGATTCGGTTTTAATGCTTTTATATATTATATGCATGAATTTTTAATATTGATGAATTGTAAATTAGTCTATTTTTATCTTAGTTTTATTTGTAAATACGCAATTCAGCCTCTCTTGTATATATATATATATATCTGTTAGGCCATCCTAGGGGAACTTGAGCCGTTTCGAAATTACAAGGGTTTTACGTATTACGAAAGTTAGAATTTTACCAATTCCTCTCTTCATCCCATTTCTTAATCCGAAAATTTTAGATTTCCTTTATTCTACCAAAAATAACCTAACCTGAGAAGTGAAATATGAAAAATTAAACTTCACAAAATCGTAGGGGATTCATTTTATAAGATAAGCTTCGAAAATTGTACCAGAATGGAAGAGTAATCTAGAAATTTTTAGCCGTCCTAAAGTGATAGATAATTCCAGGCAAAATTTGCTTCTCCGAAGAGATATGTTACAGAAAACAGTCGTTGAGTACTGCTGGCCTCTGGCTGCCCAGCATGTATTTATTTCAATAAACATTCTATCTATTTATCTATCTATCTATCCATCCATCCATCCATCCATCCATCCATCCATCCATCCATCCATCCATCCATCCATCCATCCATGATTCAACGCTGTGAAATAAAGACAAGCCATTTTTAACATAACATACATGTTTATTCAAACTCATAATGACCGCATGAATTTGAAAGGGAGAGTCTAGAGGTTAACCCTATGAATAAAACTCTCCTAAAAACAACAAACAAACAATAAAAATTACAACTTTAAAAAGGATTTGAGTTTACATTTAAAAAGTTCAAGGGACAAGGTATACCACCTAATTATTATTCAGTCATATTTTAATCATCAAGTGACTGATAAGGTCCATTTGCATCGTATTTTTTATGAAGGGGCCTTGTAATAATCATACGTAGCTTTATGATTAACTTAACGGGTGAAAAGGGCTCCACAACGTTACTTACCAACAAGCATGCTCGGTTTGTCTATAGCTTCTTTTGCTAGGAGCAATTTTTGAAGCAGTCATCTCTTGCTTTCTTTAAATTTTTTTCTACCTTTTCTTCACCGTTCTTCAAGTAATACGAAAAAAATTCCCTTTGGTTAACCGCTTATTTCTTTATTGGCTTTAAAACACCTGCTTAAATTGTTTATCTTCCGTTTTATTTTACAATTTACTTGCCTAAGAAAAAGGAAAAGAAAAAGCAATATTCTGAGCCTGAGTGAATTTAATAGTGTAAAATAGACAAAGTTAAAATTAGTAACGAATTATTTATCGTCAAGAGCCATAATATTATGGCTCTTGATATCGTTCAATATATGGCACTGATGCTGGAACTTGAATCTAAAAAAGGAATCAGTTTGTGATCAGAATATACAACAAAATCATTATCAGCTTCGCGTGCTTTTGTCATTTTAAAACTAATGCCTTATTAAACACAAGAGCCATTATAGCTAAGGTTAAACATCAAAACTCGCGGGTGGTTTTGACGAGTATTGGACTAATCTTTACTTTGAACAGTTATGTTGCTATGGCTCCCTCTAAACTCTCCATGAAATTTGTCGCGCCAAATTTTTGTGTAAACGATTGTTGTTTTGCATGTGATGTTTCCATGGCAATTTTAAATCATGATCAAAGTTGTCCTGACGTGTAAACTTCCCTTGCAAGTTTGTTTGTTAAGCCTGAATGGTTGATTACAGCGAAAGCCGTAACCCATCTCCTTCTAATAACACTAATAATTGAAAATGCCCGGTCTAAAAAGAGTTCAAATAAACAGTGTCTCAAAAAAAGTTGTTAAGTTTGTTAACTAGAACAACGGCCATCTTAGGACACAACTAAACGCTGCCTGCGAAGCCTTTGTTATTCAAGTATCGTCTGACTATTTTTGTCTGATTAAGAATCACTGAACAAAACACATAGCAGAACATTAATACTGTATCTCGAACTGGCGAAGCTATACCTTTATGTAATGAAATCAGAAGAACCTATGGTTTTCTCCAAACTGCAAGGATCGTCCCAGAATAATAATGTACAATTAAGAACAGGAACAAGCAGAAAAATCGGCATCATTTAACTATTATATTCAGCATTGTCAAATCGTATTGTGTGTGTTGCTGCGAAGTTCTCAGACCTCAGCTTTTCTTCGACTTCACGTTGGGACTTGGAGTATCTGAATCAGTGAATGTCGTCATCCTGTGGTGTTGGCTTCCAAAAAGTTGTAAGAACGCGTTTGAAGCCCTCTCTAAAATGAGCACTTCGAAAAGCGTAAACAAGTGGACTTAAACATAGACTGCAACTAAACAAAAACTCAAACGCATTCTCAAGATCAGAGTGCAGGTTGATATTACATTATTACTAAGATAATGTGAAATCGATCCATTAATACCACTGGACCATGCTGTTAAATAATTGGCTACCATGCAATTGCATGGACGTCTCACATAATAAAAAGACTACAATTTATGATTAGAAGAGCGTTATGAAGTCAGTTATAAATAGCCATACACCTGTCTTTGGTCCTCCCCATACCGTAGAATTCCGAAAATAAGCCCCTCCATGGATAAGCCCCTCCAAATATAAGCCCGTCAAAAACGTAACGCAAAAAACGTTTCGTTAAATGACCCCTCCGAATATAAGCCCCCGGGGGCTTGTACTTGAAAACAGTGTCCTCAAATACAAAGTAAAACAAAAAAAAAAAGGTAAAATTCCTTCCAACTATAAGCTAGCCTAATCGATTTTTGAACCGCAAATGTCCCTCCGTAGATAAGCCCCTCCCAATGTAAGCCCCTCCAAAAATAAGCCCCTCAAATAGGGTCTTTGAAAAATAGAAGCCCCGGGCCTTATTTTCCGAATTTTACGGGATCTTAATTCCCTTCCCTTTTTTCGGCATAATAACGTCTTTGCATACTAACAAATAATTTTCTCCATACTGCAAATATTATCTTCCTGCCCAGTTACCAGTGTCATTCTTTTAATACTAATAGACGCCTTAGTTATTATTAACTTATGAATAAAGATCGCTTTATGAATAATGTGTCTATAATTATACACCGGACTGTTTTCGGTCAGGTCGTTTCTTCCTTAAGCTTTAATTTTCAACAAATTAACCATGCGTATAACCCAACCCACATACCTACTTTGATCGTTTTTAAAAACGTTTTCTCAACTTATTTTTCAAGGAAATGTATGGTGATCAGTCCAAAAAATTTGCATGTGGATGCTTGTTAAGCGGACAGTGTATTATCCTTCAGTGAGGGTCCCGTCGGGCGTTTTGCGGGAAATCAAACTCGAAAGACGAAATCATAGTTTGGGAAATGACACTTCTTGTTTGATCCACAGACATTGGGCGAAGGCTCGGTTTGTGACCCGAAGATAAACAGAGACGGCCGGGCGTGGGAAGTATGGCCACTTGACTACCACAACTACTATCATGAATCCTCGTATAAATACGGTCATCCCATGTCAGTAATGGAAAAAGTGGCTGTTCACATTCATGCCTTGAATAAAAAAAGTCGCCAATGATCCCCGAGTTACTGCAACCATTCTACCAAGTGGCTCGGGCCTTACAATAGCTACAAAATTGTGACATTGAAGGGAGAATGTTCCTACCCCTTTACAAAGAAGTGCCCATAATCATACCTACGCTATTTCTGTCTAAAAGCATGCTGTTACTTCTTCTTTTTCATTGAATTATCATTTTTTATATTGTTATTGAACTCCCGTTTGCTATCTCACTATCGACCAGTACAAAAGTGTCTTTCTTGTTGTTACGGCTTTGATGGGTAACAATGGTCAATCCGAAAAACAAAGCCCAAACTGGAATTTATCCCTCCCTAACACAGAGAATGTTTAAAATGCATGAACTGGTTTACTTGTACCTTTCCCATATTGGAAGTGGGACAAAAAAAAGTCAGTGGAAGGTAAACAATCTCATGGTACGTTTTTTTGTTTTTGGTTCTGTAATTTACTTTCACATTCTGTAAAATGAATAACACCAATGATGACAATGATGATGATGGGATATGCAGTCGATTTACTATATAATGTTATATAATACTAGTGATATATAGTATTTTATTATGAGCAAAAATTATTACAGATTATTGCAGTGAAAACATTTTTACAACAACTGCTATTTAGAATAAAATCACAAAGATATGAACTACGCGAAGAGAAATAGTTTAAAGGTGTTCCTCTCTTCTTCTCTCTTACCCCATCTCAATATCATTGTTCGGTGTCGGTTTCTTGCATGTAAGTAGGCGTTTAAACTCTTGCTGGTAGCTTGAACTACGAAAAGCGTACAAAATTGGGTTAAGACATAAAGTTAATTCAAACAGAAATGTTGATACGTCGTCAAGAAGAGAGTATAGTTCTGAGTCATAATTTTGTTCATTATCTCCCGATGCAACAAGAATGTAGAGAACTATAGAAGGCCCATAACCGATCAAAAACGCTAAACTCGCTAGGAGAAATGTCAAAACCAGTTGCTTTTTCTCTGAGTTTCCTTTTTCATCATTTTCTGAGCAAACTGTATAAGTAAAGTAAATTCCCTTTATCAATGATCCATAGCAGAAAATCATGATTGCCGATTGCATGATGAAAATTGTAAAATACAGAAGTGTATAAATTTTTCTTCCTTCAGTCATTTTATCGAATGGGCCAACACATGAAATGTCTTCCTCGCTCCATTCTATAAAGAAGAACTGTGGGAAGCAAATTACGACACTCGTGGTCCAAATGAAAACGATGGCCTTCTTGACGTTATCCTCGCTTAACCGCAGTTCGGTTCTGAAGGGTTTTAGCAGGGCGTGATATCTTTCTAAAGCGAGAACTGTGAGTGTAATAGAAGAAACCGTGATACAAATTCCAGAGATGCTAAATGCCTTGCAAGCGAATGTAGCGAATTTATGACTCACACGTCCAAGTTGATCCTTAGTAAAGTCGTTACATAAAAACAGCAGAATGGTAATGACATCGCTAACGGCCATGTTAGCTAAGAGGTAATTCGTTGGCGTATGCATCTGTCGTGTCTTATGAACGATTCGGATAACCAATACATTTCCTATGAAACCAATGGCAAAGAATAAAATGGGAAAGTAAGAAAAGAACAGATCTAGGCTATCTTCCATGCCGGAGACCGTTGTTTCTCTAGTTTTAAGTCAATAGAATTTCGAATTTAAGATGTCTCCTTTTAAAATAAACTGTTCGGTAGAACATTCGATATCGCACTAAGTAGTTAATTCAAAAACGAAACAAATGAAGACAAGCCATTTTTGACAAGGTATACCACTTGTATAATAACTGCATGTCAGTCATATTTTAATTATGGAGTAGTGATATGGCCCCATTTGCATCACGTTTTTCATGAAGGGGCCATATAATCAATACACATAGCTTCATGATTAACTCTATCAGGTGAACAGGGTTCTACGTTACTTACCAACAAGCACGCTCGCTTTATCTAGCTTCTTTTGCTAGGAGCAATTTTTGAAGCAGTTATCTGTTGCTTCCTTCTAATTTTTTGTCTACCTTTTCTTCACCCTCCTTCAAGTAATACGAAAAAACATCACTTTGGTTGTCCGGCCGGTTTCTTTATTGGCTTTAAAACACCTGCTTAAATTGTTGATCTTCTGTTTTTTTTTACAATTTACGTACCTAAGAAAAAGTAAAAGAAAAAGCAATATGTTTAGAGTGAATTTAATTGTGTGAAATAGACACAGTCGAAATTATTAACGAATTATATATCGTTCAATATATGGCACTAATGATGGAAATTGAAACTAAAAAAGGAATTAGTTTGTGATCAGAATGTACAGCGCAAAATCATTCTCAGCTTCGCGTGGTTGTGTCATTTTAAAACTGAAGATGCCTTATTAAACACAAGACTTAGGGCCATTATGGCTTAGGTTAAACATCAAAACTCGCCGCGGGGTGGTTTTGACGAATATTGGACTAATCTTTACTTAGAACAGTTATCATGTTGCTATGGCTCAATTCCCCCTAAACTCTCCATGAAATTTGTCGCGCCAATTTTTTGTCTAAACGATTGTTGTTTTGGATGTGATATTTCCACGGCAATTGTAAATCAAGTTCAAATTTCTTAAAAGTAATGTTAAACCTAAAGAATCTATACTTTTCTCACAAATTCAGGTCACTTTAGCGTCTTTCATTTTTTTGTGAATTTACTATTTTCCAGAATTCAGGTCATTGTCTAAGTGAGGAAAACCCACGGGAAAGGCCGATCCTAGAATGACGGGTCCAAGATGACCACTTTACTATTTATTCATGCGTATGAAGCTGTCCTGACGTGTAAACTTTTACCTTAGACATCTTTTTGATTCGCTGTTACCTTCCAAGTTTGTCTGTTAAGCCTGAATGGTTTATTACAGCGAAGGCCCTAACCCATCCCCTTCTAAGATCTCTAGTATTTGAAAATACCCGGTCTAAAAAGAGTTCAAGTAAACAGTGTCTCAAACAAAGTTGTTAAGTTTGTTAAGTTCTAGAACAGCGGCCATCTTAGGAGACAACTAAACGCCGCCTGAGAGGCCTTTGTTATTCAAGTATCGTTTGACTATTTTTGTTTGATTAAGAATCACTGAACAAAACATATAGCAGAACATTAATACTCTCTGTATCTCGAACTGGCGGAGCTATGCCTTTATGTACATAAAAGAGGAGGTTCTTTGAATGTACTTATCTCTAGATCTAATAATGAAATCAGAAGAACCTATGGTTTTATCCAAACTGCGAGGATCGTCCAAGAATAATAATGCACAATTAAGAACAGGAACAAGCAGAAAAATCGGCATCATTTGAATATTATAATCAGCATTGTCAAATCCTATTGTTTGTGTTGCTCCGAAGTTCTCAGACCTCAACTTTTCCTCGACTTCACATTGGGACTTGAAAAGAAAAGAGTATCTGAATCAGTGAATGTCGTCATCCTGTGGAGTTAGCTTCCAACAAGTTGTTAGAACGCGTTTGAAGCCCTCTCTAAAATGGGCGCTTCGAAAAGCGTAAATAAGTGGATTTAAACATAGACTACAGCTAAACATAAAATGAAACGCATTCTGGAGATGAGAGTACAGGTTGATATCTATATTCGCGTTAGTCTGAAATGCAACAACAATGTGGAAAGCCACACAAGGTACATAACCGATCAAAAACCCGAGAGTCGCTAGAAGGAATGTGATAACAAGTTTCTTCTTCTCCGAGCTTCTCTCGCCATCGGTGGTTTCAGTTTCTGGGCGAACTGTGTGTTGGTAAAGTAGAGACCTCTGATCAAGGAACCATAGCAAAATACCATGACCACCGATTGTATTAATAACATGGCGGTATGTAAAATCAAGTATATCTTCAACGCTAGATCAATATTTGAATCCCGTGGACCAACACATACGGAGCGAACGGGTTCGAATTCTTGAAAGAAGACAGACGGGAAGGATACGAGAACACTTGTCACCCAAATTAGAGCGATGGCCTTTTTAACATTGTCTTTATTTAAGCGTAATCCCGTTCTTAAAGGCTTGAGCAAAGCGTTGTATCTTTCTACGGCTAGCACAGTAAGAGTAATGGAAGAAACTATTGCGAACGCTGTAATGAGGACCGCTGCCTTGCAAACCAAGTTCCCGAATTTTTCATCAAGTATATGTTGACTGAAGACAAACCTGTGAGCAGCAATCATCATTATGGTGAAGACATCACTAACGGCCATGCTAGCTAAAAGATAATTTGTAGGGGTGTGCATCTCCCTTGTTTTGTGTACGATTCGAATGACAAACACATTTCCGATGAGTCCAATGATTTAAAATGGAATGGAACAGCAAGACAAGATAAAACTTAGGCTATCGGTTTCGACCATGATTAATGCTTCAGGTTTTGCTATTTTTGTGTGTGTGTGTGTGTGTTTGTGTTTGTTTCGAAATTTGTTCAAAGAAATTGTTCACAAGACTTATCGGTCTTGTTAGTTATAAAAAAAAATATTCATTACACGCATATGAGTTAGAAGACAGGCGACAAATTGAGGTGGTTCACATCACTAAGATAATGTCAATTAGTAAAATCCAACCAGTGGGTCTATTATCAAGCTGCGTTCTGATTGGTTGAGCTACTACTAGGCTATATGTTATAGCACACTAGAAGCGAAAAGCGCCGGCTTTTTGGCGGCAAAAGAGGATTAAACTATTTTTATTCTCGATATTTTTGACCACCTAGTTGGATTTTACTAAAACAATTATTCCTCTCGCCCTCATGGCCTCTAAGTTAATAGCCCATTCGGTCTTCGGGCTCATGGGCTATTGACTCAGAGCCAATTCGGACTCGAGGAATAATTGTGAAATATATCCATTAATACCATTGGACCATGCTGTTAAATAATTGACCACCAATAGATCGTTTTCACATGACGTCAAGGCGGCCATATTTGTGTACAAAACAATGAATCGGAGGCCATGTTTTGTGTACAAAAAAAGTCTTGTGGGAATTGAACTTTTCACATATTAAAACTTTCTTTTATTCCAAGCAATTTACAAAGCTGCTGACCACGTGACTGAAAACGATCTATTGCATGGACGTCTCACATATTAAGGACTACAATTCATAATTAAAAGCGCGTTATGAGGTCAGTTATAAATAGCCATACACCTGTCTTTGGTCCTCACTATACCGTAAAATTCCGAAAATAAGTCCCTTCATGTATAAGCCCCTCCAAATGTAAGCCTCTCAAACCTGCTAACGCAAAAAACCTTTCGTTAAATGGCCCCTCCGAATATAAGCCCCCCAGGGGCTTGTACTTGAAAACAGTGCCCTCAAATACAAGGTAAAACAAAGAAAAAACGGAAAAATTCCTTCCAACTATAAGTAAGCCTAATCGATTTTGAAACGCAAATTTCCCTCCGTACATTCCCTCCGAATATAAGCCCCTCAAAAAGGGCCTTTGACAAATATAAGGCCCGGGACTTATTTTCTAAATTTTACGGTATCTTAATTTCCTTTCCTTTTTTCAGCATAATAACTTTTCTGCATACTAACAAATAGTTTTCTTTATACTGCAAATATTATCTTCCTGCCCAGTTACCAGCGTCATTCTTTTAATACTTTAATACTTTAATACGTTTGTGACCCGAAGATAAACAGGGACGGCCGGGCGTGGGAAGTAGGACCACTTGACTATACCACAACTACTATTATGGCTCCACGTATAAATACGGTCATTTCATGTCAGTAATGGAAAAAGTGGCTGCTCAAATTCATGCCTTAAATAAAAAAGTCACCGATGATCCCCGAGTTGCTGCAACCATACTACCAATTGCTTCGGGCCTTACAATAGCCACAAAATTGTGACATTGAAGGGAGAATGTTCCTAACCCTTTACAAAGAAGTACCCATAATCCTACCTGCACTGTTTCTGCCTAAAAGCATACTGTTACTTCTTCTTTTTCATTGAATTATCATTGTTATTGAACTCCCGTTTGCTATCTCACTGTCGACCAGTACAAAAGTGTCTTTCTTGTTGTTACCACTTTGACAGGCAACAATGGTCAATCCGAAAAACAAAGCCCAAATTTGAATTTATTCATCCCTAACACTGAGAATGTTAAAAATGCATGAACTCGCTTACTTGTACATTTCCCATATTGGAAGAAAGAAAAAAGAAAAAAGTCAGTGGAAGGTAAATAATCTCATGGTATGTTTTTCGTTTTTGCTTTTATCTCTAATTTACTTTCACATTCTGCAGTGAAGAACACCAACGATGACAATGATGATGACGGGATATGTAGTCGATTTACTATATAATGTTATATAATACTAATGATATATAGTTTTTTGTTATGAGCAAAAAATGAGCAGTGAAAAAATTATGATAACTACCGCTATTTAGAATAAAATCACAAAGATATGAACTACGCAAGGAGAAATAGTTTAAAGGTGTTCCTCTCTTCTTCCCTCTTTCCTCATCACAATATCATTGTTCGGTGTCGGTTTCTTGCATATCAGTAGGCGTTTAAACTCTTGTTGGTAACTTGAACTACGAAAAGCGTACAAAATTGGGTTAAGACATCAAGTTAATTCCAAAAGAAATGTTGATACAGCTTTAAGAACAGTGTTCATTGTCTCCCAATGCAACAAGAATGCAGAGAACTATAAAAGGCCCATAACCGATCAAAAACGCTAAACTCTCTAGGAGAAGCCACAAGCTGGTTTTGCTGAACGAGGAAAGAAGCTATACTGCCGCCTCGATTGCTCTAGTGAATGGCTGCATAGCCTATATTTGTAGCTGGTTACTTGTGATTTATATTCTTGATGTCGGATAAACAAGCCGCAGTCATCTATCGGCGAGTGACTCGATCGGCGAATGGCTTCGCGATCATGAAGAAACAACACTTGTCTTCTTTCGTAGCTGGTCAAGGTACTTTAGTTCCATGTGTTTTCACGTGTTTTTCGACAAACTTTCAAACAAGCTCTTGTGGCTTTTTTTGTCTGTTTTTGTCTTTTTTCTTTCGACGAAACTGCATTTCTAGTATTCTAAGAGATGAATTAAAACGATTTGCTTCGGGTGCCGTTTTATCCTTCGCGAAAAAAAATCTCAGCTAGCTTCCAATTTTAAACTGACGCGTACACCGACCATATATGGAGAGCATGGTATAACAGCTCATGTACCATAACGGCTAAGCCAATCAATATGCTAGAATTGCATTATCCAATGGTTCAGTTTTTAATAATTAACAATTATTCCACGAGGGTGCGTTGGATATGAGTTGGCTAACTACCATCTCATATCCAACAAGCGCGAGTGGAATAATTGTTTTATTAAAAACGCCCACAAAATCTCGTTGAATCTCCCCGACTAGAGTAAACCGGAAGTGACAAGGAACTTCCGCTATTCACATGTCACACGTCTATCAAATGACATCGCTAACGGCTATGTTAGCTAAATGGTAATTCGTTGGCGTATGTATCTGTCGTGTCTTGTGAACGATTCGGATAACCAATACATTTCCTATAAAACCAATGGCAAAAACTAAAATGGGAAAGTGAGAAAGGAACAGATCTAGGCTATCTTTCATGCTGGAGACCGTTGTTAGGGCTCGTTTAAGTCAATAGAATTTCGAATTTAAGATGTCTCCTTTTAGAATAAACTGTTCGGTAGAACATTCGATATCACACAAAGTAGTCAATTCTCTTTTATGCCACATGTATAAGATCAATTCTAGTTTATGCAGCGCCTGTTTTCTTTGATGCTCTGCCCAAGTATTTACAGCGTGAGCTGGAGCGGGTCCAAAAAAGGGCATTTGTCATCCATTTGCCGCAGTCTGTCTTATGACGAGGTATTCCAACCATTATTTTATATTGCGAGGACATATGTGACAAGGTTTTGAATGTTGCCCTCGGCAACAAGGATAACAAACGTAACATTTAGTTATTAACGGAAGCCAATAAGGCTCATATTGACTAAGAAAACACCGACACTCAGTTGTGCTTCTAAAGTGGAAGACGTATCTTTTTAAGAACGCTTTCATTTTGTCAACGTGCCTAAAGTACAATTAAATGATTCGGTTTTAATGCTTTTATATATTATATGCATGAATTTTTAATATTGATGTATTGTAAATTAGTCTATTTTTATCTTAGTTTTATTTGTAAATACGCAATTCAGCCTCTCACGCGGAGCTATAAAATTTGTATATATATATATATATATATATACAAATTTATATATATCTGTTAGGCCATATTTATATATATATCTGTTAGGCCATCCTAGGGGAACTTGAGTCTTTTCTTCGAAATTACAAGGGTTTTACGTATTACGTAAGTGAGAATTTTACTAATTCCTCTCTTCATCCCATTTCTTAATCCGAAAATTTTAGATTCCCTTTATTCTACCAAAAATAACCTAACCTGAGAAGTGAAATATGAAAAATTAAACTTCACAAAATCGTAGGGGATTCATTTTATAAGATAAGCTTCGAAAATTGTACCAGAATGGAAGAGTAATCTAGAAATTTTTAGCCGTCCTAAAGTGATAGATAATTCCAGGCAAAATTTCCTTCTCCGAAGAGATATGTTACAGAAAACAGTCGTTGAGTACCCCTGGCCTCTGGCTGCCCAGCATGTATTTATTTCAATAAACTTTCTATCTATCTATCTATCCATCCATCCATCCATCCATCCATCCATCCATCCATCCATCCATCCATGATTCAACGCTGTGAAATAAAGACAAGCCATTTTTGACAATGATACCACTTGTTCGATAACTGTATGTCAGCTTTATTTTAATTATGGTGCGACTGATAAGCCGGCCCTATTTGCATCACGTTTTTCATAAAGGGCAGTGGGCGAAAGGGGCCATGTAATCATCACAGATAGCTTCATGATTGACACTAACAGGCCGGAAAAGGGTTCAACGCTGCTTACCAACAAGGACGCTCGGTTTATCTAGCTTCTTTTGCTAGGAGCAAATTTGAAGCAATTATCTCCCGCTTCCTTTTCATTTGTTTCTACCTTTTCTTCACTCTACGAATACGAAAACAATTGACTTTGGTTATCCGGTTTCTTCATGGCTTTAAAACACTAGCCTGCGTGCAGACGATAACTAAAGTCTGATTAGTACCGTCTGCGAAGCAGCGCAGAGATCCTTGTTCTGGACCCCCAACGGACTCAACGAATTACCGGAAGTGCGTTTCGAATTCCCCTTCAACCTGATTGGCGATCACGACAAACTAAACAAAGGCCTTTTTTAACTGGCCAATCGTGGCGCGTACTCAAATCTGGGTACACAGCTGGACGTCCAGAACAAGGATTTCGGTGCTGTTTCGCAGACGGAGTTAACCAGAGTTTAATTTCGTCTGCGCGCAGTCTATAAAACACCTGCTTAAACTGTTTATCTTCTGTTTTATTTTACAATTTACGCGCCTGAAAAAAGGATGAGAAAAAGCTATATTCTTAGAGTGAATCTTGTGTAAAATGGACCCAGTCAAAATTAGTAACGAATTATATATCCTTCAATATACGGCACTGATGTTGGAAATTGAACCCTAGAAAAGGAATTAGTTTGTGATCAGAATATACAGCAGAATCATTATAAGCTTGCCTTATTAAACGCAAGAGCCGTTGGTTTTGACGAGTAATGGTCTAATCTTTAGTTTGAACACTTATGTTATGGCTCAATTCCCCCTAAACTCTCTATGAAATTTATCGCGCCAATTTTTTGCCTAAACGATTGTTGTTTTGGATGTGATGTTTCCCTGGCAATTTTAAATCATGATCAAATTTCTTAAAAGTAATGTTGAACCTAAAGAATCTATATTCAGGTCACTTTAGCGTCTTTCATTCTTTTGTGAATTTACTATTTTTCAGAATTCAGGCCTTTGTCTAAGTGAGGAAAACTCACGGGAAAGGCCGATCCAGTAGAAAGACGGGTCCAAGATGACCACTTACTATTTAGTCACGCGTATAAAGTTGTCCTGACGTGTAAACTTTTACCTTAGACATCTTTTGATTCGCTGTTACCTTCCAAGTTTGTCTGTTAAGCCTGAATGGTTGATTACAGCGAAGGCCGTAACCCATCTCCTTCTAAGAACTCTAGTAATTTAGAAAGCTCGATCTAAAAAGAGTTCAAATAAACAGTGTCTCAAAAAAAGGTGTCAAGTTTGATAAGTACTAGAACAACGGCCATCTTAGGAGACAACTAAACGCCGCCTGCGAAGCCTTTATTATTCAAGTATCGTCTGACTATAGTTTGTTTGATTAAGAATCACTGAACAAAACATATAGCAAAACATTGATACTATCTGTATCTCGAACTGGCGGAGCTATGCCTTTATGTACATAACGAGGAGGTTCTTTCAATGTACGTATCTCCCGATCTAATAATAAAATCAGAAGAACCTATGGTTTTCTCAAAACTGCAAGGATCGTCCCAGAATAATAATGCACAATTAAGAACAGGAACAAGCAGAAAAATCGTTATCATTTGAATATTATATTCAGCATTGTCAAATCCTATTGTTTACGTTGCTGCGAAGTTCTCAGACCTCAGCTTTTCTTCGAGTTCACGTTGGAAATTGAAAAGAAAAGAGTATCTGAATCAGTGAATGTCGTCATCCTGTGGAGTTTGCTTCCAACAAGTTGTTAGAACGCGTTTGAAGCCCTCTCTAAAGTGGGCACTTCGAAAACCGTAAACAAGTGGATTTAAACATAGACTGCAGCTAAACATAAAAGAAAACGCATTCTGGAGATGAGAGCACAGGTTGATATCTATATTCGCGTTGGTCTGAAATGCAACAACAATGTTGAAAGCCACACCAGGTACATAACCGATCAAAAACCCGAGAGTCGCTAGAAGGAATGTGATAACAAGTTTCTTCTTCTCCGAGCTTCTCTCGCCATCACTGGTTTCAGTTTCTTGGCAAACTGTGTTGGTGAAGTAGAGACCTCTGATCAAGGAACCATAGCAAAATACCATGACTACCGATTGTATCAAAAAGAGGGCGTCAAATACAATCAAGTAAATCTTCCACGCTAGATTGATATTTGAATCCCCTCGACCAACACACACGCAATTGCTTCGATCGAATTCTTGAAAGAAGGGATTCGGGATGGATACAAAAACACTTGTCACCCAAATTAGAGCGATGGCCTTTTTAATATTGTCTTCACTTAATCGCAATCCGGTTCTTAAAGGCTTGAGCAAAGCGTTGTATCTTTCTACCGCTAGCACAGTAAGAGTAGTGGAAGAAACTATTGCGAAGATTGTAATGAAGGTTGTAATGACGGCCGATGCCTTGCAAACCAAGTGCCCGAAAGTTTCATCAAGTACATGTTGACTGAAGGCAAACTTGAGAGCTGCAAACATCATTATCGTGAAGACATCACTAACGGCCATGCTGGCTAAAAGATAATTTGTAGGGGTGTGCATCTCCCTTGTTTTGTGTACAATTCGAATGACCAACACATTTCCGATGAGTCCAATGATGTAAAATGGTATGGAACAGCAAGACAAGATAAAACTTAGGCTATCGGTTTCGACCATGATTAATGCTTCAGGTTTTTCTGTTTTTCTTTCTTTTTTTTCAAATAGAGATTCGAAATTTGTTTAAAGAAATTGTTCACAAGGGTTATTGGTCTTGTTAGTTATTTTTCATTGTATGCATATGAGTTACTAGACAAGCGAAAAATTGAGGTAGTTTACATTATCACCAAGATAATGTGAAATAGACCCATTAATACCATTGGACCATGCTTTTACAAAATTGGCCACCATGAAATTGCATGGACGTCTCACATAAAAAGACTACAATTTTGTAATTAAAAGCGCGTTGTGAAGTCAGTTATAAATAGCCATACACCTGTCTTTGGTCCTCCCCATGCCGTAAAATTCGGAAAATAAGCCTCTTCAAATATAAGCCCCTCAAACCCGTAACGCAAAAAACGTTTCGTTAAATGACCCCTCCGAATATAAGCCCCAGGGGGCTTGTGCTTGAAAACAGTGTCCTCAAATACAAAGTAAAACAAAGAAAAAACGGTAAAATTCCTTCCAACTATAAGCTAGCCTAATTGATTTTGAAACGCAAATTTCCCTCCGTAAATAAGCCCCTCCAATATAAGCCGCCTCCAAAAATAAGCCCCTCAAAAAGGGCCTTTGCCGGGAAAATATAAGCCCCGTTGCTTATTTTCCTAATTTTACGGTATCTTAATTTCCTTCCCTTTTTTCGGCATAATAACTTTTCTGCATACTAACGAAATAATTTTCTCCATACTGCAATTATTATCTTGCTGCCCAGTTACCACCGTCATCCTTTCTAGCTAGCTAGTTATCTATCTATCTATCTATCTATCTATCTATCTATGTATCTATGTATCTATGTATCTATGTATCTATCTATCTATCTATCTATCTATCTATCTATCTATCTATCTATCTATCTACCTCTCTGATTCAACGCTGTGAAATAAAGACAAGCCATTTTTGACAAGGTATACCACTTGTTTGATAATCAGATTTATTTTAATTATAGATTGACTGATAAGCCGGCCCCATTTGCATCACGTTTTTCATTAAGGGGCCATGTAATCATCACGGATAGCTTCATGATTGACACTAACAGGTGAACAGGGTTCAACGTTACTTACCAAGAAGCACGCTCGGTTTATCTAGCTTCTTTTGCTAGGAGCAAATTTGAAGCAGTTATCTCTTGCTTTCTTTTATTTTTTTTCTACCTTTTCTTCACCGTCCTTCAAGTAATACGAAAAGAATTCGCTTTGGTTATCCGATTTCTTTATTGGCTTTAAAACACCTGCTTAAATTGTTTATCTTCCGTTTTAGTTTACAATTTACGCGCCTAAGAAAAAGCAAAAGATCAGAAAAGGCAATATTCTTAGAGTGAAATTGATAGTGTAAAATAGACTCAGTCAAACTGATTAGTAACGAATTATATATCCTTCAATATATATCACTGATGTTGAAAATTGAACCCTAAAAAAGAATTAGTTTGTGATCAGAATATTCAGCAGAATCATTATCAGCTTCGCGTCGTTATATCATTTTAAAACTGATGCCTTATTAAACGCAAGAGCCATTATGGCTCTTGTTAAACATCAAAGCTCGCGGGTGGTTTTGACGAGTATTGGCCTAATCTTTAGATTGAACAGTTATATTACCATGGCTCAATTCCCCTTAAACTCTGCAAGAGTTTTGTCGCGCCAATTTTTTGTCTAAACGATTGCTGTTTTGGATGTGATGTTTCCATGTTAAACCTAAAGAATCTATACTTTTCTCGCAAATTTAGATCACTTTAGCGTCTTTCATTCTTTTGTAATTTATTTTTCCAGAGTTCAGGCTGTTTTCTTAGTGACGAAAACCCAGGACTGCTGATCCTAGAATGACGGGTCTAAGATGACCACTTATTTAGTCATGGCGACAATTTCGCAAGGCGTATAATGTTGTCTTGACGTGTAAACTTTTATCTTAGACACATTTTTGAATCGCTGTTACCTTCCAAGTTTGTCTGTTAAGCCTGAATAGTTGATTACAGCGAGGGCAGTACCCCATCCGCTTCTAAGAACTCTAGTAATTAAGAAAGCCCGTAAGTACTATACTCAGAAAGGCTATCTTAGGAGAGAACTAAACGTTTGCCTGCGAAGCCTTTGTTATCAGTCGGATATCAGTCAAATATCGTCTGACTATCGTATCTCGAATTGGCGAAGCTATGTCTTTATGTACATAAAAGAGGTTTTTTCAATGTAATTATTTCTCGATCTAAAAATGAAAGCAGAAGAACCTATGGTTTTCTATGATCACTTAATATTTTCTCTGGTTTTCTCCAAACTGCGAGGATCCTCCCAGAATGATTATGCACAAATAAGAACAGGAACAAGCACAAAAAACGTCATCATGATCATTTGAATTTCATTTAGCATTGTCATTGTTTGTGTTGCTGCAAAGTTCTCAGACCTCAGCTTTCTTCGACTTCATGTTGGGACTTAAAAAGAAAAAAGTATCTGAATCACTGAATGTCGTCATCCTGTGGAGTTGGCTTCCAACAAGTTGTTAGAACGCGTCTGAATCCCTCTCTAAAGTGGGCACTTCGAAAAGCGTAAACAAGTGGATTTAAACATAGACTGCAGCCAAACAAAAACTGAAACGCATTCTCGAGATCAGAGAAGAGGCTCCTACCTATATTCGCGTTGGTTTGAAATGCAACAACTGTGTAGAAGGTCATGGAATGTACATAACCGATCAAAAACCCGACAGTCGCTAGAAGGAATGTGATAACAAGTTTCTTCTTCTCCGAGCTTCTCTCGCCATCAGTGGTTTCAGTTTCTGGACAAACTGTGTTGGTGAAGTAGAGACCTCTGATCAAGGAACCATAGCAAAATACCATGACTACCGATTGTATCAAAAAAAGGGCGTCAAATACAATCAAGTGAATCTTCCACGCTAGATTGATATTTGAATCCCGTTGGCCAACACATCCTGAGAGAACGCGATTGCTTCGATCGAATTCTTGAAAGAAGGCAGTCGGAATGGATACAAAAACACTTGTCACCCAAATGAGAGCGATGGCCTTTTTAATATTGTCTTCACTTAATCGTAATCCCGTTCTTAACGGCTTGAGCAAAGCGTCGTATCTTTCTACGGCTAGCACAGTAAGAGTAATGGAAGAAACTGTTACGAAGATTGTAATGACGGCCGATGCCTTGCAAACCAAGTGCCCGAAAGTTTCATCAAGTACATGTTGACTGAAGGCAAACTTGAGAGCTGCAAACATCATTATCGTGAAGACATCACTAACGGCCATGCTGGCTAAAAGATAATTTGTAGGGGTGTGCATCTCCCTTGTTTTGTGTACGATTCGAATGACCAACACATTTCTGATCAGTCCACTGATGTAAAATGGAATGGAACAGCAAGACAAGACAAAACTTAGGCTATCGGTTTCGACCATGATTAATGCTTCAGGTTTTTCTGTTTTTCTTTTTTTTTTTCAAATAGGTTTGGAAATTTGTTCAAAGAAATTGTTCACAAGGGTTATTGGTCTTGTTAGTTATTTTTCATTGTACGCATATGAGTTAGTAGACAAGCGACAAATTGAGGTAGTTTACATTATCACTAAGAAAATGTGAAATAGACCCATTAATACCATTCGACCATGCTGTTACATGATTGGCCACCATGCAATTGCATGGACGTCTCACGTAATAAAAAGACTACAATTTATAATTAAAAGCGCGTTATGAAGTCAGTTATAAATAGCCATACACCTGTCTGTCTGTCCTCCCCACACCGTAAAATTCCGAAAATAAGTCCCTCCATGTATAAGCCCCTCCAAATATAAGCCCCTCAAAAACGTAACGCAAAAAACGTTTCGTTAAATGACCCCTCCCAATATAAGGCCCCGGGGACTTGTACTTGAAAACAGTGTACTCAAATACAAAGTAAAACGAAGAAAAAACGGTAAAATTCCTTCCAACTATAAGCTAGCCTAATCGATTTTGAACCCCAAATTTCCGTCCATAGATAAGCTCCTCCCAATGTAAGCGCCTTCAAAAAATAAGCCCCTCAAAAGGGGCCTTTAAAAAATATAAGCCCCGGGGCTTATTTTCCGAATTTTACGGTATCTTAATTCCCTTCCCTTTTTTTGGCATAACAACTTTTCTGCATACTAACAAATAATTTTCTCCATACTGCAAAAATTGTCTTCCTGCCCAGTTACCAGGGTCATTCTTTTAATACTAATAGACGCCTTAGTTATTATTAACTCTTATGAATAAAAATCGCTCTATGAATAATGTGTCTATAATTATATATACGCCGGACTGTTTTTCGGTCGAGTCGTTTCTTCCTTAAGCTCTTCAACTAATTGACCATGCATATAACCCAACCCACAGTCCTGCCTTGATCGTTTTAAAAAAAGTTTTCTCAACTTATTTTTCAAGTAAATGTATGGAGATCAGTCCGAAAAATTTGCACGTGGATACTTGTTAAGCGGATAGTGTATTATCCTTCAGTGAGGGTCCCGTGGGGTGTTTTGGGGGAAATCAAACTCGAAAGACGAAATCATAGTTTGGGAAATTACCCTTCTTGTTTGATCCACAGACATTGTGGGAAGGCTTGGTTTGTGACCCGCAGATAAACAGAGACGGCCGGGCGTGGGAAGTAGGACCACTTGACTATACCACAACTACTATTATGGCTCCACGTATAAATACGGTCATTTCATGTCAGTAATGGAAAAAGTGGCTGCTCAAATTCATGCCTTAAATAAAAAAGTCACCAATGATCCCCGAGTTGCTGCAACCATACTACCAATTGCTTCGGGCCCTACAATAGCCACAAAATTGTGACATTGAAGGGAGAATGTTCCTAAGCCTTTACAAAGAAGTGCCCATAATCCTACCTGCACTATTTCTGCCTAAAAGCATACTGTTACTTCTTCTTTTTCATTGAATTTTCATTGTTATTGAACTCCCGTTTGCTATCTCACTGTCGACCAGTACAAAAGTGTCTTTCTTGTTGTTAGGGCTTTGACGGGTAACAACGATGACAATGTTGATGATGGGATACGCAGCCTATTTACTACGTAATGTTATATAATACTAGTGATATATAGAATTTTATTATGAACAAAATTTATTACAGATTATTGCAGTGAAAAAATTATTTTAACTACCACTATTTAGAATAAAATCACAAAGATATGAACTACGCGAAGAGAAATAGTTTAAAGGTGTTGATCCTCTGTTCTTCTCTCTTACCGCATCTCAATTTCATTGTTCGGTGTCGGTTTCTTGCATATCACTAGGCGTTTAAACTCTTGTCGGTAGCTTGAACTACGAAAAGCGTACAAAATAGGGTTAAGGCATAAACTTAATTCAAGCAGAAATGTTGATACGGCGCCAAGAACAGAGTATAGTTCTGAGTCATAATTTTGTTCATTATCTCGCGATGCAACAAGAATGTGGAGAACTATAGAAGGCCCATAACCGATCAAAAACGCTAAACTCGCTAGGAGAAATGTCAAAACCAGTTTCTTTTTCTCCGAGTCTCCTTCTTCATTATTTTCTGAGCAAATTGTAGCATAGCAGAAAAACATGATGGTCGATTGCATGATGAAAATTGTAAAATACAGAAGTGTATAAAATTTGCTTATATCGAATGTTTCAACACATGAAATGGGTTTCTCGTCCCATTCTGCAAAGAAGAACTGTGGAAAGCAAATTACGACACTCGTGGTCCAAATGAAAACGATGGCCTTCTTGACGTTATCCTCGCTTAACCGCAGTTCGGTTCTGAAGGGTTTTAGCAAGGCGTGATATCTTTCTAAAGCGAGAACTGTGAGTATAATAGAAGAAACCGTAAAGCGAATGTAGCGAATTTATGACTCACACGTCCCAGTTGATCCTCAGTAAAATTGTTGCATAAAAACAACAGAATGGTAATGACATCGCTAACGGCCATGTTAGCTAAAAGGTAATTCGTTGGCTATGCATCTGTCGTGTCTTGTGAACGATTCGGATAACCAGTACATTTCCTATGGGAAAGTAAGAAAGGAACAGATCGAGGCTATCTTCCATGCTGAAGACTGTTGTTTCCCTAGTTTTAAGTCAATAGAAATTCGAATTTAAGATGTCTCCTTTGATAATAAACTGTTCGGTAGAACATTCTGAATATCACACTAAGTCGTTAATTCAAAGCTGTAAAATAAAGACAAGCAATTTTTGACCAGGTATACCACTTGTATAATAATTATATGTCAGTCATATTTCAATCATCAAGTGACTGATAAGCCGGCCCCATTTGCACCACAATTTTTCATGAAGGGGCCATATAATAATCACTCGTAGCTTTATGATTACATGTAACTCTACCAACAAGCACGCTCGGTTTATCTATATCTTCTTTTGCTAGGAGCAATTTTTGAAGCAGTTATCTCTTGCTTTCTTTTAATGTTTTTCTACCTTTTCTTTACCGTCCTTCAACTAATACGAAAAAAATTCGCTTTGGTTAACCGGTTTCTTTATTGGCTTTAAAACACCTGCTTAAATTGTTTATCTTCCGTTTTATTTTACAATTTACGCGCCTAAGAAAAAGGAAAAGATCAGAAAAGGCAATATTCTTAGAGCGAATTTGATAGTGTAAAATAGACTCAGTCAAACTGATTAGTAACGAATTATATATCCTTCAATATATATCACTGATGCTGGAAATTGAACCCTAAAAAAGGAATTAGTTTGCGGGTGGTTTTGACGAGTATTGGACTAATCTTTACTTTGAACAGTTATGTTGCTATGGCTCCCTCTAAACTCTCCATGAAATTTGTCGCGCCAAATTTTTGTGTAAACGATTGTTGTTTTGGATGTGATGTTTCCATGGCGATTTTAAATCATGATCAAAGTTGTCCTGACGTGTAAACTTTCAACTTAGACATCTTCTTGATTCGCTGTTACCTTGCAAGTTTGTTTGTTAAGCCTAAATGGTTGATTACCGCGAAAGCCGTAACCCATCTGATCTCCTTCTAATAACTCTCATAATTGAAAATGCCCGGTCTAAAAAGAGTTCAAATAAACAGTATCTCTAAAAAAAGTTGTTAAGTTTGTTAACTAGAACAGCGGCCATCTTAGGACACAACTAAACGCCGCCTGCGAAGCCTTTATTATTCAAGTATCGTCTAACTATAGTTTGTTTGATTAAGAATCACTGAACAAAACATATAGCAGAACATTAATACTCTCTGTATCTCGAACTGGCGGAGCTATGCCTTTATGTACATAACGAGGAGGTTCTTTCAATGTACTTATCTCCCGATCTAATAATAAAATCAGAAGAACCTATGGTTTTCTCAAAACTGCAAGGATCGTCCCAGAATAATAATGCACAATTAAGAACAGGAATAAGCAGAAAAATCGTTATCATTTGAATATTATATTCAGCATTGTCAAATCCTATTGTTTGCGTTGCTGCGAAGTTCTCAGACCTCAGCTTTTCTTCGAGTTCACGTTGGGACTTGAAAAGAAAAGAGTATCGGAATCAGTGAATGTCGTCATCCTGTGGAGTTTGCTTCCAACAAGTTGTTAGAACGCGTTTGAAGCCCTCTCTAAAGTGGGCACTTCGAAAACCGTAAACAAGTGGATTTAAACATAGACTGCAGCTAAACATAAAAGAAAACGCATTCTGGAGATGAGAGCACAGGTTGATATCTATATTCGCGTTGGTCTGAAATGCAACAACAATGTTGAAAGCCACACCAGGTACATAACCGATCAAAAACCCGAGAGTCGCTAGAAGGAATGTGATAACAAGTTTCTTCTTCTCCGAGCTTCTCTCGCCATCAGCGGTTTCATTTTCTGGACAAACTGTGTTGGTGAAGTAGAGACCTCTGATCAAGGAACCATAGCAAAAAACCATGACTACCGATTGTATCAAAAAAAGAGCGTTAAATACAATCAAGTGAATCTTCCACGCTAGATTGATAATTGAATCCCGTTGGCCAACACATCCTGAGCGAACGTGATTGATTCGATCGAACTCTTGAGAGAAGGCATTCGGGATGAAGGCAAACCTGTGAGCTGCAATCGTCACTATCGTGAAGACATCACTAACGGCCATGCTAGCTAAAAGATAATTTGTAGGGGTGTGCATCTCCCTTGTTTTGTATACGATTCGAATGACCAACACATTTCCGATGAGTCCAATGATGTAAAATGGTATGGAACAGCAAGACAAGACAAAACTTAGGCTATCGGTTTCGACCATGATTAATGCTTCAGGTTTTTCTGTGGTTTTTTTTGTTTTTTTGTTTTTGTTTGTTTTTGTTTTTGTTTTGTTTTTCAAATAGAGTTTCGAAATTTCTTTAAAGAAATTGTTCATAAGGATTATCGGTCTTGTTAGTTATTTTTCATTGTACGCATTTGAGTTAGTAGACAAGCGACAAATTAAGGTAGTTTACATTATTACTAAGATAATGTGAAATAGAACCATTAATACCATTGGACCATGCTGTTAAATAATTAGCCACCATGCAATTGCATGGACGTCTCACATAGTAAAAAGACTACAATTTATAATTAAAAGCGCGTTATGAAGTCAGTTATTAATAGGCATACAACCGTCTTTGGTCCTCCCCATACCGTTCAATTCCGAAAATAAGCCCCTCCAGGTATAAGCCCCTCCAAATATAAGCCCCTCAAACCCGTAACGCGCGCAAAAAACGTTTCGTTAAATGACCCCTCCGAAAACAGTGTCCTCGAATGCAAAGTAGAACAAAGAAAAAACGGTAAAATTCCTTCCAACTATGAGCTAGCCTAATCGATTTTGAAACGCAAATTTCTCTCCGTTTGATAAGCCCCTCCCAATATAAGCCCCTCAAAAAAGACCTTTGGAAAATATAAGCCCCGGGGCTTATTTTCCGAATTTTACGGTATCTTAATTTCCTTCCCTTTTTTCGGCATAACTGCTTTTCTGCATACTAACAAATAATTTTCTCCATACTGCAAATATTATCTTCCTGCCCAGTTACCAACGTCATTCTTTTAATACTAATAGACGCCTTAGTTAAGATTAACTTATGAATAAAAATCCTTTATGAATAATGTGTCTATAATTATACACCGGACTGTTTTCGGTCAAGTCGTTTCTTCCTTAAGCTTTTCAACTAATTAACCATGCATATAATCCAACCCACGGTCCTGCTTTGATCGTTTTAAAAAAAGTTTTCTCAACTTATTTTTCAAGTAAATGTATGGAGATCAGTCCCAAAAATTTGCATGTGGATACTTGTTAAGCGGACAGTGTATTATCCTTCAGTGAGGGTCCTGTGGGGTGTTTTGCGGGAAATCAAACTCGAAAGACGAAATCATAGTTTGGGAAATGACACTTCTTGTTTGATCCACAGACGTTGTGGGAAGGCTTGGTTTGTGACGCGCTGATAAACAGGGACGGCCGGGCGTGGGAAGTAGGACCACTTGACAACTACAACTACTGTAATTATGACTCCTTGTAGAAATACGGTCATCCCATGTCAGTAATGGAAAAAGTGGCTGTTCACATCCATCCTACCAGTTGGCTCGGGCCTTACAATAGCACAAAATTGTGACATTGAAGGGAGAATGTTCCTACCCCTTTACAAAGAAGTGCCCATAATCTTACCAAAACTATTTCTGCCTAAAAGCATGCTGTTACTTTTTCTTTTTCATTGAATTATCATTTTTTATATTGTTATTGAACTCCCGTTTGCTATCTCACTATCGACCAGTACAAAAGTGTCTTTCTTGTTGTTACGGCTTTGACGGGTAACAATGGTCAATCCGAAAAACAAAGCCCAAACTGGAATTTATTCCTCCCTAACACAGAGAATGTTAAAAATGCATGAGCTGGTTTACTTGTACCTTTCCCATATTGGAAGTGGGACAAAAAAAAGTCAATGGAAGGTAAATAATCTCATGGTACGTTTTTTGTTTTTGGTTCTGTAATTTACTTTCACATTCTGTAAAATGAATAACACCAAGGATGACAATGATGATGATGGGATATGCAGTCGATTTACTATATAATGTTATATAATACTAGTGATATATAGTATTTTATTATGAGCAAAAATTATTACAGATTATTGCAGTGAAAAAATTATTACAAAAACCGCTATTTAGAATAAACTCACAAAGATATAAACTACGCGAAGAGAAATAGTTTAAAGGTGTTCCTCTCTTCTTCTCTCTTACCGCATCTCAATGTCATTGTTCGGTGTCGGTTTCTTGCATATAAGTAGGCGTTTAAACTCTTGCTGGTAGCTTGAACTACGAAAAGCGTACAAAATTGGGTTAAGACATAAAGTTAATTCAAACAGAAATGTTGATACGTCGCCAAGAACAGAGTATAGTTTTGAGTCATAATTTTGTTCATTATCTCCCGATGCAACAAGAATGCAGAGAACTGTAAAAGGCCCATAACCGATCAAAAACGCTAAACTCGCTAGGAGAAATGTCAAAACCAGTTTCTTTTTTTCTGAGTTTCCTTCTTCATCATTTTCTGAGCAAACTGTATTAGTAAAGTAAAGTCCCCTTATCAATGATCCATAGCAGAAAATCATGATTGCCGATTGCATGATGAAAATTGTAAAATACAGAAGTGTAAAAATTTTGCTTCCTTCAGTCATTTTATCGAATGGGCCAACACATGAAATGTCCTCCTCGCTCCATTCTATAAAGAAGAACTGTGGGAAGCAAATTACGACACTCGTGGTCCAAATGAAAACGATGGCCTTCTTGACGTTATCCTCGCTTAACCGCAGTTCGGTTCTGAAGGGTTTTAGCAAGGCGTGATATCTTTCTAAAGCGAGAACTGTGAGTGTAATAGAAGAAACCATAACACAAATTCCAACGATGCTAAATGCCTTGCAAGCGAATGTGGCAAATTTATGACTCACACGTCCAAGCTGATTCTCAGTAAATTGCTTACAAGAAAGCAACAGAATGGTGATGACATCGCTAACGGCCATGTTAGCTAAAAGGTAATTCGTTGGCGTATGCATCTGTCGTGTCTTGTGAACGATTCGGATAACCAATACATTTCCTATAAAACCAATGGCAAAAAATAGAATGGGAAAGTAAGAAAGGAACAGATATAAGGTATCTTCCATGCTGGAGACCGTTGTTAGGGCTGGTTTATAATTAAGTCAACGGAGTTTCGAATTTAAGATGTCTCCTTTTAAAATAAAAAGTTCGATAGAACATTCGATATCACACTACGTAGTTAATTCAAAGCTGTGAAATAAAGACAAGCCATTTTTGACAAGGTATACCCGCCTAATTATATGTCAGTCATATTTTAATCATCAAGTGACTGATAAGGCCTACTTGCATCACATTTTTCATGAAGGGGCCATGTAATAATCATACGTAGCTTTATGTTTAACTCTAACAGTTGAAAAGGGCTCCACAACGTTACTTACCAACAAGCACGCTCGGTTTATCTATAGCTTCTTTTGCTAGGAACAATTTTTGAAGCAGTAATCTCTTGCTTTCTTTTAATTTTTTTCTACCTTTTCTTCACCGTTCTTCAAGTAATACGAAAAAAAATTCGCTTTGGTTATCCGGTTTCTTTATTGGCTTTAAAACACCTGCTTAAATTGTTTATCTTCCGTTTTATTTTACAATTTACGCGCCTAAGAAAAAGGAAAAGAAAAAGCAATATTCTTAGAGTGAATTGAATAGTGTAAAATAGACTCAGTCAAAATTAGTAACGAATTATATATCCTTCAATATATGGCACTGATGCTGAAAATTGAACCTAAAAAAGGAATTAGTTTGTGATCAGAATATACAGCAAAATCATTATCAGCTTCGCGTGGTTATGTCATTTTAAAACTGATGCCTTATTAAACACAAGAGCCATTATGGCTAATTAAGGTTAAACATCAAAACTCGCGGGTGGTTTTGACGAGTATTGGACTAATCTTTACTTTGAACAGTTATGTTTCTATGGCTCAATTCCCTCTAAACTCTCCATGAAATTTGTCGCGCCAAATTTTTGTCTAAACGATTGTTGTTTTAGATGTGATGTTTCCATGGCAATTGTAAATCATGATCAAATTTCTTAAAAGTAATGTTAAACCTAAAGAATCTATACTTTTCTCACAAATTCAGATCACTTTAGCGTCTTTTGTAAATTTATTTTTCCGAATTCAGGCCGTTATCTCAGTGAGGAAAACCCAGGAAGACCAATCCTAGAATGACGGGTTCAAGATGACAGCTTAATTTTTAGGCATGCGTATAAAGTTGTACTGACGTGTAAACTTTGATTCGCTGTTACCTTGCAAGTTTGTCTACGATCTGTTAAGCTTGAATGCCGGGTTGATTACAGTGAAAGCCGTAACCCATCCCCTTCTAAGAACTCTAATAACTGAAAATGCCCGGTCTAAAAAGAGTTCAAATAAACAGTGTCTCAAAAAAAGTTGTTAAGTTTGTTAAGCCGACTAGAACAACGGCGATCTTAGGAGACAACTAAACGTTTGCCTGCGAAGCCTTTTTCATTGGAGTATCGTCACTGACTATCGTATCTCGAACTGGCGATGCTCTGCCTTTATGTACATAAAAGACGAGGTTTTATCAATCTACTTATCTCTCGATCTAATAATGAAAGCAGAAGAACCTACGGTTTTCTATGATCACTTAATTGTTTCTCTGGTTTTCTCGAAACTGCAAGGATCGTCCCAGAATGATAATGCACAAATAAGAACAGGAACAAACAGAAAAATCGGCATCGTGATCATTTGAATGTTATTCAGCATTGTCAAATCCTATTGTTTTTGTTGCTGCGAAGTTCTCGGACCTCAGCTTTTCTTCGACTTCACATCGGGACTTTAAAAAAACACTTGTCACCCAAATTAGAGCGATGGCCTTTTTAATACTGTCTTCACTTAATCGCAATCCCGTTCTGAAAGGCTTGGGCAAAGCGTTGTATCTTTCTACGGCTAGCACAGTAAGAGTAGTGGAAGAAACTATTGCGAAGGTTGTAATGACGGCCGATGCCTTGCAAACCAAGTGCCCGAAATTTTCATCAAGTACATGTTGACTGAATGCAAATTAAACCTGTGAGCTGCAAACATCATTATCGTGAAGACATCACTAACGGCCATTCTAGCTAAAGGATAATTTGTAGGGGTGTGCATCTCCCTTGTTTTGGGTACGATTCGAATGACCAACACATTTCCGATGAGTCCAATGATGTAAAATGGTATGGAACAGCAAGACAAGATAAAACTTAGGCTATCGGTTTCGACCATGATTAATGCTTCAGGTTTTGCTGCTTTTTTTGTCCAAAGAAATTGTCCACAAGGGTTATCAGTCTTTTTAGTTATAATGTTTTCATTGCACACTTATGAGTTAGTAGACAAGCTACAAATTGAGGTAGTTTGCATTATCACTAAGATAATGTCAAATGTATCCATTAATACCAATGGCCGTGCTGTTAAATAATTGGCCCCCAATAGACCGTTTTCACATGACGTCACCGAGGCCATATTTGTGTACAAAAAAAGTCTTGTGGGAATTGAACGTTTCACATGTTAAAACTTTCTTTTATTCCAAGCAATTTGCAAAGCTGCTGACCACGTGACTGCAAACGATCTATTGCATGGACGTCTCACATAGTAAGGACTATACAATTCATAATTAAAAGCGCGTTATGAAGTCAGTTATAAATAGCCATACATCTGTCTTTGGTCTATAACTTAATTCTCTTCCCTTTTTTCGGCATAATAACTTTTCTGCATACTAAAAAATAATTTTCTCCATACTGCAAATATAATTTTCCTGCCTTTAGACCTTTAACTTGTGCAAGGGAGTTATCCTCAGCTAGCAATAATGTTAGCGTTGATCTCTGTGACCTGTAATAACAAGGAGAATGTTATGCTCCAAGCTGAATCTCATTCTGTGATGTAGGCTCTTGGCATTTCAGAAGCCGTTTAAAACCTTCCTTAAAATGCGTACTGCGAAAGGCGTAGAAAATTGGGTTTAGACATAAACTACAATTGAACAAAAAGTCAAGCACAGCTCTAAGAACAGAGTACAATAATAAGTCTTCCTGTTGAACATCCCGTGATGCGACAATTGTGTAGAACAAAATTCCAGGGGCATAACCGATCAAAAATCCCGTGGTTGCTAAGAGAAATGTCAAAACGAGTTTCTCTCTCTCTGAACCTCTTTCTCCTTCCGTTTCTTCTGGACACACTGTGTTGCTAAAATAAAGTCCCTTGATAAGAGATGCATAGCAGTAGCACATGGTTGTCAATTGAATAAAGAAAATTGATGCGTTTACGAGCAAATAAATTTTGCTTGCTTGATTCATGCGTAAAGTCCACGGACCAACACATTCGAAGAGCTCAACTGCATCTTCTTCGATGTTCCATTTATGTAAGAAGAAGGAAGGTAACGACAAAAGAACACTTATGATCCAAATAATAGCAATGGCCGTTTCAGCAAGGCATGATATCTTTCCACCGCTATCAATGTAAGAGTTGTGGAGGACACTATTATGCATATTTCAACGAGGGCGAATGACTTGCAAGTGAATTTCTCAAAGTTGTTATTTACACTTCCAAGTTGATACTCGACGAAATTGTGCAATGTCAGCAACATAACGGTGACGGCATCGCTAACGGCCATGTTAGCTAGAAGATAATTTGTAGGTGTTTGCATTTCACGTGTTTTATGCACGATGTGTATAACCAAGACATTTCCAATAAATCCAGTTATGAAAAATGGGATGGAAGACAAAAATAGAAAAAAAGGTAGTCCATTTGGTTGTATCATGATTGACCCTGCCCTGGGATTGTTAATAGAACTCTTTCAAATTTGCTTTTGGTACTAAACCAACCTTTAATACAAGCTGTCAAGTCAGATTGCGGCGAAATAACCAATTCGTCTTCCAAATTTAATTGGACACAGTTTAAGTTACAGTCATCATTTACACCTGACATTAAATAATTTTTATTGAAACGGTCGTTAAACAAAATAAGCTTTAAAGTTATTCCATCGACGCCAGAATCACAATTATTATAATTCTCATTTGAGAGTTTTCTTTACCGAAAGGTCAGATTAGACTCCCGGCAGGAGCCAAATTGAGCATTAAGAAAAACGGTTTACTGATGGAAATGAAAATTGATGATAGAACTACAGAACGGTAAGGAACACTTTAAAAAAAACATTGCTGCCGAGTAACCCTTAAAATAGTCACTGTCCAGTACCTCATCAGCATGAAAAAAAGAGTTACTCTGTAGCAGCTAATTCTCCACAGACCGATCTCCATATTTTTCCTTAAAGAATTTGTGAAGAGAATTTGATAAAAGATCAAAGCATTTTCCCCTCGGTGATCATTTTATTAATTCTCACAACCTTTTCTCTTGATTATGTATGGATATTGTTAGGAGAAAATTGACGTTGGTCACTCTTAAGACTTAAAGTAGCCTGCGAGCAAGCTCTCCTATTTTGGCGAGCGAGCAGCGAAGCCGCGAGGGGCAGAGGAAAGGAGAGCTTGCAACGATCTCTCATAAAATTTCATTTGTACTTCGCTCAGACGAAGGGAAATACAAGTGGCTGAAAAATGACGTTCCGAAAAACGGTTAGTTCTAACCGCCGAGGTCAAATATTATCTCGCAAAATAGCGCTTAAAACAGCACAGGACGGCGAAAACATGACACATGGCTCAATTAGCATTTTCTTCAAACTTTTATTGAAAAATTTGCTATAAATTCTGCATTTTGGAACAAATTATAGCCACCGTATTGTTCATACGTATTTTTTCTATAAACAACAAAAGATCGTTGCTCAGATTTCAATCAACAACGGCCCCCACTAACAGGGGGTGGTCTGCCTGTGGTCAGCGTGTCAAGTTTGGTTCTCAGGGGGATCAAATTGGTACCGACAACTTGTTTCAGCCCTCAAAGCAGACGAGGGGGCTCGTTTGATTTAGTTCTCGCAAAGAGAATATTGCGAGCCGAGGATAAGTCGGACCGAGTTTACAGTTCTTGTGGAAGGAAAATGAAAACCCTTCCTCAGTTGTATTCGTTTGTGTCAAGCGCCATGTTTAGTTCTGAAAACGTGAAGAGTGAAAGTGAAGAGAGATTCAAGCTCCCGGCAACAGACTTAAAGGGTTAATAGTCACTGTCAAGTATCTCATCCAGACATGCATGAAGAAATGAGGTCTGCCACGAGCTTCCATTAAATAACAAATAATAAGGCTGAAATAAATTGAGTATTTTATTGGCACATATATTCATATTTAAAATTGCGCCTCACTATTGCCTCACAGGCGCCGGAAAAAAAGTTGAAATGACCATGCATTTACCATAAAACTTATAATGGGTATTAATTTAAAGAAAACTGTGGCAGAATTAACCATTGTTGAAGCAGTATCAAGCCTATCTTGTTGTGTTGTTTAGTACAACAGGCTGACGTTGACACATAATAGTCAATGTTCTTAATCAATACGTTACGAATTCATAAACAGGCAAAAAGAAGCACCTGCCTATACTATTGATTATATTGAGCCTTTTTGAAAGAAATTTAAATATAAAGTGCAAAACAGAGATGGTTTGCCGGCGGGGAGAAAAGAAAACATAAAAGTAAAATGGAGCGTTCTGTGTATGACTGAGTTGGTCATGAATGCCCGGGGGGGTACTCTCTATCATGGCCTATACGGGGAGGTTACGCCCAAAAGGGGTACAATGCAGGCTCCAGGTAAGGATTTCACTGATTTTAAAGTCAGAAATCGGCTCCTATTGAAGTATATAAACATATAGAGTAAGGAAAATATCTCTTTCCTTCTGTAAAAGGCGCTAAAAGTGCTAATACAAGAAATATGACTGTGAAAAAGTCGGAAAAAGTTTCTTTTATAACGCCATCAAATATCTATGTCACTGTGCTGAAACTGTGCTGGCGGGGGCAGCAGAGAAGGTTATATATTTGTTAGTGTTTCACCCCATTATAACGTTTCTTGCCGACCGTTTATGGAATAATAAAAGGATATTCTTGCACATGCAAAAACACCAATATGATGCGAAAAATTTATCATTCATTCCGATTTATTGACAAAAATGGTTTCAAGAAATAAACCCCAAAATTTAAGAGTGTATGAGCTAAGTAAAGTTTTGCCACCCAGTAATTTTGCAGTTTTTTATTGATTGCAAAGAGCTGAAGCTTGCACAAACTCCATAAATTAACGAGCTGTTTTAATCTTTGAACCTAATTGGTATATACGGCTACATCTAGTGGGTTAACCTATATGCTAATGAGCAAAAAATGTAAACAATGACCTCACGATGAATCCGCCTATTGAAAGGTTCCGCGCGAATTAAGTGTCCGGTTTCAGGACGAAGATTTCGTCTGATGCCTTTTAAACGTAGCCTAGGGTGCATAAGTTTTGTTCACTGGCAACATGTAAAGATGTCTCGCAGTATTTCTTTGACAGCTTGCCGAACTTGTCTCATCTTCCAACAATAGATTAGTGTATTGAGAGATGAATCAAGAAAAATAAGCGTAAATGAAAAAAAATTTAGCTGTTGTAGCAGGATAGTTTCACCAACGATTTTCATGGCAAATCTGACGCTGTAGAATGGTAAATAGCAAGCCACAAACACGACATACACGTAAAATGTAATATTTGCTGCTCTCGCAGGGCGTGAATCTGATTTCTGTGTTGCTGTACGGCGACGTATATCTTGCAGTAAAGCAATCCTGTAGTAATGTAACACACAGTCTCCGTGCTTATTAATATTATAAATATGACCTCGCTTTTGATCTGGATCGATTCAAGAAGGGAAACTAGTGCACTAAACACCCAGATTGAGATCACTGCAGCAACAACACGCTTGTGAGTCACAAGTTCCTGGTATCTTACATGAAGATGGATTGCCAAGAATCTATCGACAGTTAATGCGACAACACCAACGAAAGAAGCAGAGGCAAATAGAACCTGTCCGATCTCCAAGCTCAAAGTACAAATCCGGCAATTGTTTGTGATCCGTTCCGCTGTTTTCAAAACAAGATCTGCTTTGAATAAAGGTTGGACAAGCAAACCTACACCAAGATCAGCCTAGTCCCTAGGCGTTCCCTCTTGACCCGTTGTCCGCGCGAAGTCTGGGAAAGAGCGGGCGAGAGAACGCCTAGCCAATATTGGCGAGTATCTCCCGGTGACGTCACAGCTCACGGTGGAGTCCAGGATTGACCGCGCCGAGAACGCCTAAGGACTAGGCTGCACCAAGATCAGACACCGCCAGACTTAACAGCAGTGTTTGTAAAGTTTTTGGGAACGATGACGCTTTTCTTAGGGCTTGTATTGTTATGATGTTCAACGCGATGGCGGTGGAAGACAAGAAAGCGTTCCATACACATGTAATGACAAGCGCTGAATGCATTCTTTAGTTTGTATCATCAGAGCTGTTAAAGGATTTGGTGAGACTGTTTTTTCACACAATTGTCAGAATGCGACTGGACCGTAACTCAGTTTTTGGAAGTTGTATGTTCCACAGTCAATCAATGTCTTAAATTCACTGGATTGACCGTCTGATGTCTAACCCTTTTTCTTGTTTACCGTCTAAAACTGTTTCACTTTCACTTGTTTCACTGACATTGGATATATCTCCTATGCAACACTTTTCGATTCGGTACGTATACACAGTGCCAGTAAGATTTCTTGACCGTTAAAGGTAGAAAAAGAAGAAAGCTAGTGTTCGGTCTTTATCTTCGTCCACAACATGCACTTTAGGTTTCAATTTGAATAGTACGTTGGCGTTCAATTAGTGGAAAGAACAGCTAGTTTTAAGGAGAACGTGCGACGGAAACAAAAGAAAAACACACTGATTGCCAAAAATATCACTCGGCGAGCCCTTCCACCGGAATTGTTTACACAAAAAAGAAAAACTTATTTAAGCAGGAAGAATTAATAAGAAAAACACCTGCTCTTCTTAACCAAAAATATCCGTTCTCGGGAATAGTTATGTCATGAATTACCTTTTTTTTTCTTCTTTAAAACTGCAAAGGTACGTCATATGGGAGGTATCATTACCGGATGTGTCGTGGTTCGACCTGTTCTAAGTCGATTCTGCTGTGCTAAGTTCGCCTATACACGAAATGCTGCTGTAGAGTCTTTAGAGTTGTAAAGATATAATACAAATTTCACCAGGGAGAACTAACCATGATGTTTGTTTTTGCAGGCATACATATAAATCCATGTCCATCATTGCCATCCGTATCAACAGACTGGAACTACGCTGAGGAAAGCAATTTCTGTGCCTAAATAATAGTCTTAAATTACATCAGTGGACCATTATTTTTATCACTTTGCCATTCTTGTTTACCAGGGAAAGCAATCTCTTATATCCGGCTTTCGAATGGACCTAAATTGGTAGATGTCCCGATCAAGTAAGTAATATAATTGTTATCGAGCTGGAAATTTCTTCCCAACAGCGCGCGCTCTCATTGGTTACTTCGAGGTCACTTGACAACTAACAATGAAACTGTTTCAAGCCAAAATCTCTGAGCTGGCAACATTGCAAAATCTATGACGTTAGAGGGTAACAGTGCACTGTTACTCGCGAATGTTGACCGACGACTGCTAATACGTACAGCGAATTTTAATGAATTTCCAACGACAGCAGGATGGAAACGCAAATGAAGAGAGGAATAAGGTTCAACCAGTGACAAAATCATCACTGTTTTTCCAAAATAATAATAATAAATAAATTTACATTTATTTAGCGCAAAACTCTATATGGATATATTGAGTTGCGCTTTACAATATTGTTAAATTAACAGTGGTGTAAAAGGAGACTAAAACGTAAGGAACTATTATAAACTACCAACCTGTACGAAATAAAAGCCAACAATTACTAATTGCTAATTGTACCTACTTAAAAACCTAGTTAAAAGATCAAGACATGAGTAAAAAAAATCCATTTAAAAGCCAAATTAAAAAAATGAGTGTTAACAGCAGTCTTAAAAGTGTCCAATATCTTTATTTTGCAAATTGCCGAAGGTAATGCCGTTCCAGAGAAAAGGTGCAGCTGACTGGAATGCACTATCGCCAAGAGTTGGACGTGTAGCTCGAGTAAGATAGACTCATTTGACCTTGCTCGAATCCGATTATCAAATGCAATGTTAGGAGAAATTTCTTGGACCTGAATGGCAGGAAGCGCATCAAAGTTGAAAAAGAGAAAAAAGTTTCATCCTACGTTGAGCCCTAAGACCACTTGCAATGGTAAATTTCAAGTCTTGGTTGTGCAGTCAACGACAAAGAAATCTGCTTGAAAAAGTGCCTCGGTGATCGTGATGCACGCGGAGTACAGAGCTGTTGCTTTGCTCCTGTTTTGTCCATAAATCGTCTTGGTTTTTGACAAATCATCGGCCACATATAAAATATAGCTTTGTCAAACTGATCTCCTCTCGCTTTATTGACTCAGAAAGCGGATGTTTCGCAGTATTTCCATAATTATAACTTGTCTCACCTGTCTCATCTTCAAGCAGTAGATCAGAGGATTCAAAGATGAATTCATAAACACAAGAGTCATAGCATAATACCACAATTGCAGTAGCAGAGTAGTTTCCCCATAAATTCTTAAAGAAAGTAAGACGCAAAATAATGGCCCATAACAAGCTAAAAATGCAATATACACGTAGAATGTACCAACTGCAGTTTTTCTTAGCCTTACTGCATTTGCCATTCCGTCATTTTGTGCTGCCTGTTGAATTTGCAGAGCGCAAATTTGATTCTTGAGGCGTCTTATGATTGCGTATATCTTGTAGTAGGAGAATCCTGTGGTTATTATAAAAACAGCTTGAAGGGTCACTAATATGATGAGAGTAACCTGCCTTGTGATGATCCAAGTCATTAAGGAAAGAATTACACTTAACACCCAAGTGGCGATTACTACAGCAACAACCCGCCTATGAGTCACAAGTTCCTGGTATCTGAGATGAAGACATATAGCTAAGTATCTGTCAACAGTTAAAGCCACAACGCCGAGGAACGAGGCGGAAGAAAATAAAATGTGCTGGGTGTAATATGCTATCTCTACCGTATAAATAACACTGTTAGAGCTCTGTTCTATTCTTAAAAGAAGAAATGCAATGAACAGAGGCTGAATAAGTAAACCAACCGAAAGATCCGATGCAGCCAGACTCAGAAGCAGTATTTTTAAAGTCTTTGGTATCTGCGACGTTTTTCTCAGCGCTTGTATCGTTACGGTGTTCAGCGCGATAGCGGTGTAAGAGAAGAAAGCGTTGACAATGCAGTTAGCGACAAGCGTTGAATAAAACTCTTGAGTTTCTCCCATCACATTCCTGAAGAGCTCTCGGAATACGCATTTGTTTTTAAAAACGGATTAAAGGAATACGCTTTCGTAGAATTAACTGAAATGTCTCCGATAGTTCAGGATGCGTTCTACTGAGATTCGTCCTTCGTTTTGTATTGACTAATATAAGTGATCTTTATGTCCTCGCTTTTCTTTATTTACGTTCACCTGTGAAAATGATTAATTGGTTTGATCCATTTGTTGCAAAGGTCTTCAGTCATCCGGATAGTGCATTGAACTTGCGTACATTACCTAACCATACCTCTCGGAAGCGAAAAAGACGGAAGGGTCGTATAATGACAATTACTAAATTTATACCACTACATGAGAAATTTCTGCAATTTGATTGGCTTGGAGCAATGGTAGTTAAGCTTAATTTGAAACACCTACAGGTGGCTAGGGTATCACTTTGTGAATCCTCAGTGCTACCGGATGTTTTTAACAAAAATGTCATAAGCATTTCAGTAAAAAGTAAAAGGTGAAGAGAAACACCTCTACATCTCGATCGAGAAAAGCTTTTTAACGGGAATCCTATTAGTGAATTAATTTGTGAAATTACTCGTCTTTTTCCCTTTGAAAGTCCGTTGGGGAGATAAAATTATCATCGAAATAAACCGAAAAAACAAAGAGATGCGCCTCTGGCACCGAGTTGGCCTGCTCTCGCTTTCGTATTATCACTATGTTCCTAAAAATGCTTGCGGAGAAAAAGGTTACGTTTAAGCAAATAATTGGAATCGTGTATATAATTTCCAGTTTTTGGCCTTCTAATGACGAATGCGCTTATTTCCCTTGAATCTGCCTCATCAGTCTAAGTATAGGCTTTGAGGTTTAATTAGAATCGCCATACGGGAGTATAATGGACATAAAAAAAACGAGAAACTGTTGCACTAGAAGCGGGCGGTTCAAGCGGCGACACATAGCAGGGGTACCCAACGACAATGTTCGGAAAAATATCTGTTCGGAAGACGATTTGAGATCTTTTGTTGAAAAATTTCTTGCTTGCCTGCTTCTCCTAGGATTTTCGAACATCTAAAACATGGTATAATTGCCTATTTTGACGGATTTTTACCCTAAAATGGTCACCTAGAATTTTCGGGAGCCTTTTTTCTGGCTGAAATTTTCGAAAAGGTAAGTTTTGATCCCTATAATTTTCGGATCACTAGACTTTCAGCTAGGAAATCCGAACAGATGAAAAATTTTTAGTGGATAAACATATGCCTATATCTACTGTTTAAATACCAAAATACGTTTAACAATGCTATGTTTTAGCGGTTTTGAACTAAATTCTCGTTGGGTGCCCCTGAAACATAGTCCCAGATCGTTTTCGAGGTAACTGCAATGGCAAACAACCAGAAAAAAGGGAATCAATACATTAAGAAGGTGGCAACTACAGTTTTTGTCAGCCTTGCAGCATTAGTCATATCTATAGTTGTGTGGCTATTTAATTTGCTGAAGTTAATAGATATGCATAAATTCATATTTTGCACCGTATTACGTCTACGCGTTCACTTGAACCCGGCTTTTTTGTTAATGCGAACAGGCCTTTATTAAGGGCAGCTTGGAATATTGTCCCTGAGGGAAACTATATTATGATTAAAGTTGCTTCCCGATGAAAAATGCACAAAACAATACAACGTCAGGGAGATCGCCAAAGCAGGAGGCAATTATACTAACGCAGTGCAACAAATTTAAAGGGAAGCCGAGTTGGATCGAATTATCACTCTGCGTGTCTTGCTGCAAGGTCAAGTTTATTACAAATAACTGACGAGATTTTATTAAGAAGAAGAGATGACGGAAAATCACCTGCATCTCAAAAAATCCATTGTTAACTTGAATTTTCAAATTTCGAGGAATGGTTCGGCTGAAATAACTACCTTAGGGCTGTCGTTATAATATAGCCCGAGATAATGTGGGAGGTATCAGCCAAAGAGTACGTCTATTACCCACGGACAGCTGCTTGAATTACAGAATAGAAGATTCTAAGGGGTAAGTAGTTCATTAAGCGACTGAGTGCCCACGCGGAAGGGCCCAGCTAAGTGAGACATTATTCCTAACACGCAGTTTTAATTTCTATCAAATTAAAGAAAGATGATATGTAACTTTGTAACAGTGAAAATGTAATATGAATTCAAACAGTTGGCAACTAAATGAGTAAAAAAAATAAGGACCTATTCTGACTATTAAAACGGACGTTAACGAGTTTTGTTAAAGGAAGAAACTACTCGTAGTTTGGGGCGGTTTTGCTAATGTGGAATCCACCAGGAAATTGAGTAATTTTAATTTTCAGTGGACAAAACCTTCCCGGGGGTACTCCCATATATGGGCTATATAGGCACGTGCCGCGGAATAGGGTATGGTTTTTGAGGTTCTCGGCCCTTAAATAGGGTATCTTTTTCGACCCTTTTGTTTCTGTGTCCCTGCTGTGATCCTTAGATAGGGTAGCTTAATTGTATTATCTAATACTGGAGTGTGAAAACAGTATTGAACAGGTATTGAGAGATGTATCATGGTTATTAAACTAGGCTTATTCTAGTGTTTTATGCTTGATGCTATACATCCAATGTTACAGAGAAGAAATAAAGTTTTCCTTTTCATGCTATTAATAATTTTGTTTTTTCCTTGAAAAGGGTGTCATTTTTCGGCTTTGGGCCTTAAAAAGGGTATCAGTTTTCGCTTTCTTAGTCCTTAAATAGGGTTAGGGTTCACGAACCTTCGCGGCACACCCCTATCCAAAATTCGCGGGAGTACCCCCCGAAAACCTTGTACCAGAATAATTCAAAGAATATTGCCATCCTTTTTACATTTTCAAGGGCTATAGATGTAATTAGTTATCTGTAATAACACCAACAAAATTTCTTATGGGAGCCCGAGAAAATAGATCTTAAATTTTTCAAGAGTTGTGAAAAACACAGGTAAAATTCTGAAAATTACGTGTGAAAGATGTCATTTGTGAAATTTGACACTTATTTTCTCGGGCTCCCATGAGAATTTTCTTTGGTGTTATTACAGACAACTAACTACGTCTATAGCCCTTGAAAAATGTAAAAAAGAATGCGATATTGTTTAAATTATTCTGGTGATGGGTTTTGTCGACTGAAAATTTAAATTACTCAATTTCCTGATGGATTCCGTTTTAAAATTCTCCGAAAATTCTTCATCGCAGGGCAGCCATAGCCTGCGTTGCAGCCGGTCCACGCACTCGTCAAAAATATTTGTAGAGCATCTGCGACGCGGGCAAGGCAGCCAGAGTAGTTTACAACTTGCCCTGGAACACGCCCGCTGCTGAGGTCTTGCAGTATTCGAAATGGAATACATTAACCTACTATTATAGACTATTTCACAGCGTATTTAAAGGCGAAGCACCTGCCGCATTATCGCATTTGACTATTAATAAACCCTGTATGGCTTACAACTTCAAAAGAGGCAATAACATTATTGTCCCTCGTATTTACTCGTACTTTCTGAATTTGAATTTGTTCATGGTACGTATTTGTATTGCAAAGTGAAGAAGGACAACTATGTTAACGAAGTAGATCTGTGCCACACAGCTAGTCTATTTTTTGTTTTTAAATGTTGTTAGTCAATTACTTATTGGTGCTTTATGTATAATTTCATTTCAAATCTCATATACATTGTATCTTTCCTAATTCTTATCGAATATTATTTTTAAGAGATTTATTGTAGTTCTATAGATTGTAACTAGTCTTACACGACCCCACAAGCATGCGCTTTAAGTTTTTAAATAAAGGATGTGATGATGATGATGATGATGATGTTGAAATTAAAATAGAGGAGGAAACGTGGACGAGCGCCCTTAGAGCGCAGGACGTATATTCCGTAAGCCCCAGGTTTGGTCCCGCAGGCCCCCCCTGACCGCCTTTCTAGATTTGTTCACGGTAGTACCAAGTTTTTTTATTGGCCCTGAAGAACCCACAAGGGCAAAGGGTAATTAAGTAGTTATTGCTATTTCTACAAAATAAACAAGAAATCTAAGCTGCATCTGCTGCAGTCCATACCCGGCCAAACTACAAGAGCCTGTTGTTTGGTTCCGATTACACATGAAAACGCAAGTAACCTGTGCAAACTGTTCGTTAATCAAATTCTAGTTTCTAGTATCTATGTATATCACAAAATTTTTCTAACTCATCGAAACCCTACTCAGCTTTCTGAGGTATGAATGAGTCGTAAAGTCTTTCTTCATCATGGGAAGAGCTTTCGCAGTATTCCCAACGTGCCTCATCTTCCAGCAGTAAATCAGAGGATTCAAAGAAGAATTGTAAAACACAAGCGTTAAAACATAGTAACCGTTCTGCAAATGAAGTAGTTCGAGAGCTTCACCAAAGATTTTTATAGCAACTCTTACACAAAAAATGCTAGACCCCACTTCTCTTATATTTCCTCAACTCCTTACAAACACACTGCCGTAGCCAGACAACTTGACAGCCGAGGCAAAAGAAGGAGAAAGGCATAGTTTCACTGATGTGAAATACTCAAGGAATTTCAGCGTAGAACTCTTGTCGGCTCTTCACTAGTCCCTCTTAAGTTATATATAAAAGAGCAAGAAATACAAATACAAAATTTCCGGTGGCAAAATTATAATATACAAATTAGTAATTTCTTGTAGCACTGCTTGGCCCTTTGGGGACGGATAGTAATCAACTTTTAAGTGATTAAAATTAAATCGGCAGTCTAGATAATCTCATATGGAACATAACTTCTGACTGTCTGAAGGAAGTCTGGGACTAGAATGACGTCATAAATCCGGCATAACAATTTCTGAGTTGACGGTTTTGCTTTCTAAACCTATGATTGCCCAGTTGATAAGAGGGTCATAACTGGGAGGGACCAGCCGTCAACCGTAAAATGGCCTAAGAAAGCTCATTTTTTTAGCGAACGTTTTTTTTTGGCATCCGTCGAACGAGTTGTGATTCAATTTCTCGGCAAACACAACTACAGGTCAACTAAACAATGGAGTCCTCCTGCCTTCACCCCTCCTAAATGAAGCTTTTGGTAGCTCCCATTTTATATTCAAGTATAACGCTCGAACCTCTGCGAAAGTGAGTATCTGATAAAGTCGTCACACATAATTGATCAGCGAAAAGCCCCGGAACATGGGGATGTGTTGAGGTACCTTTTGGTCAATTTAATCATAGGCAGATAGCTGTCGCCTCGTGAAAGGTGATCCAAGACATGGTTGCCGTATTCACTGATTCCGAATTCACTGCCAGTGGAATTCAGTGGAGGATCCACAGGAGGCGCCCGGAGGACCCTCGCCCCTTATTTTTAGACCAAACTAAAACCTAACCCTTTGGAAACTGCCCACCTACCCCTCCCCTGAGCCGACATTTATCCCTAAGTGAGAAATAAGTGTTGACTTTGGCTAAGGGGAGGGGTAGGTGGGCAGTTTCCCACAAACGTATAATGATCATTATCGAAAATGGTGTTGCGAGGGGAACTTATGTGAAACGAAACTGCCAATTTTTATTCTAACGCCATACAAGGTGAAGAATTTAGCGGTTAAAAACATAGCTTTTGTGACCGGCGAGTCATAATTTTAAGATTCATTATTTTTGTTTCAGTGTTCGTATCCCTCGAATCCTGGAAAATCTACTGGTTTCCAAGGATTTAACTCTTCCCTAGAATTAACATTTTTCCCAATTAAGAAGGTCATTGCTAGATATGTTTCGGGCCGACGGAAGGCAAATATGGTACTGAAAAATCCAATATCTTCATGTCGATCTGCGATTCGTAAAACCTAAGGAATTAGAGAGTTGGCCATGGGGACTGCATGTATCTTAAAGTACTTTAAGTTTACTCATAAAGGTTCACTTTCAACTCCTACATTTGTAAGTGGGTTAAGGTAAACAGTTTTTAAATGATAATGTAATAATTTAATTAGTGTATAAAAAACAGGCAGCCCCCACGGCACTTCCTTTCTTTAAAACAACAAGGTAAAAAATATAGAGATGTGTTTTTCCTGGCATGGAATACTTCCACATTAAGACACAGAGGAGTATAGACTGGGTACATTGCACCGAGGTCGCCGCTGGCAATAGGGACTTTAAGAACCAACGACGCGACGGCAACGAGAACGTCGCTTAAAAAGTGAATTTGCGTTCTTTCAGTCTTCATCGCAATTATTCCTACCCACTTACTTTGTCAAATTTAGGCAAACCCTCCTGAAGTTGAATTCTTTGAGACCATATCCAAGTTCAGAAGGAGAAATTAAATTTCGCCGTTGCTTGTTTACGTTCTCCATTAAACGCGAAATTAGGCATTTTCACGTCGAAGTCGCGCAAAAACGGGAAAAGAAATGTACAAAAAAGTGTGATGCACGTGCAAAGCTATTGTTTTGCTTATAAAACCCATTGTTTTTTTTTTGACGTTCTCGATGCCGTCCGCAGTCCCGTATTATCATTAGTAGCCATAGAAACCTTTGGTTCGCCCCTTGTAAGGGAATCCGAATTCCGGATAAATTTTTCTTGCGGAATCCGGAGTCCTGGGTTTTGGAGTCCGGAATACAGATAAAGGAATGCGGAATCCCCCTAATGATTGGAGTCCGGAATCCACTCCACTGACAAAGAATCCAGAATCCAGTATCTGGAATTCCGAATCCACGGCATGAAATCCAGAATACAGGACTGGCTTAGGAATCTAAGGGAGCGGTCCTTTGGGATGATCCGGATCAGGATCAGTGATCCGAGATCACTCGGACCATGGTAGATCAAGTGAACCGATGAATCCACTCTGGACAAGGGCCTTCGGTTCATTTGATCTACCATGATCCGAGTGGTCTTGATGCGGATCATCCCAGAGGAACGCACCCCAAGACCGTTCTGGATTCTGGATTCCACAAGTAAAATTTCCCGGATCCCCCATTCCACAAACTTTCCCAGATTCCGGAATCCGGATTCCCTTGCATGGGGTGAGCCGAGAGTTTTTACGGCTGCTTATGATATTACCAGCGGGCGTCGATAAAATCAGGAACATGGAACATTCCGGAACACCCCGGAACATGAAAAAATAAAAGTAATTTTCATGAAAAAAATATTAATTAAATAAAATGATAATAATAAAATAGTTTTTGTAAAAATTAATAATAACAAAATAACATAAAATAAATAATAAAAGAAACTAAAAATAAAGAAATGATTTGTTATTACCATTTGGGTATTATGTAAGAAAGGGGGGCCCTTAAATCTTTTAACATGAATGAAGGGGGGGAGGTACCTAAAAAAATGGGTGCTATTGAGTAGGGGTCTGGAAATAATTTGGGATTAAAAACAATTTCTCCTATACTCCCTCCTCCAATTTAAAATCTGACTGGTCCCTAAGCTCTTCTTGTGGTCGCAAAGCCGTAAATGAATAACCGTTAAACCGCATGGCAAACATTTACAAGAGGTAGCTGTGTGAGTAAAGCTTGAAAACCCCCCTCCTTGCGACCCGTTTGAATATATTTTGAATTTAGAAGCAAACCTTCACTCATTACTGTCATTTCTATATGGATCCTCACCCCACAAATTATTTGCGACAAAATATTATTTTCTCATACCTGGAGATGATACGAGTTTCTTTTTCTTTATTTCTTTCTCTTTCGGTTTTTGTTATTTTACGTTATTATTAATTTTTATAAAAATCATTTTTTTCATTATTATTATTTTATTTATTTATTTTCATGAAAATTATTGTTATTTTTTCATGTTCCGAGATGTTCCGGAATGTTGCGGAATTTTCGGCATGTTCCGGAATGTTCCATGTTCCGGATTTTATCGACGCCCATTACCAGCGGAGTTCCAAGAAGGTAGTGGTATACTAGTGCGGAAATAGGCATTGAAAATGAGCCGTGGACAAGATGCTGTTGTTCATATCCGAGAAGAGCGTGCAGTTGTTGGAGGCGTTCAAGTTGCAAAGAAAACGGTGATAGCTGTCACGGATGGAGGGTGAGATGCGATGCCACCTGAATTCTTTAATTTATATTGCAGAACGCGATCGACAGAATAGTAGAGACCGAAGTTGAAGAGGCAAATCGAAATGTTCTGAATATTTAAGAACTGAATCAGAAAGAATACTTCTTTTAGAGAATACTAAGCAAGTGTTGTGTTGTTAAGTACAAGTGCTTAATAGTCGCCAGAGAGAAAGAAGCTGCAGGGACAATACTGTAAGACTTGCAGCAAATACATTCATAAATCTCCGCCATATGGGAAGTTGTTTATTGGACCAAAGGCGGAAGTGATATATTGCGTTTTGATTTGTTCTCCTGTGAGTGAATGTATAACTAATCACTAAATTTGTAATGCTTATAACTAATTAGTCGATCTTCATATTTTTGAAAGGATAAATGAGCGGAAACAAAATTCATTTCCGTTATTTAGTCAGTGCCGATTGTATGACCGCCTCCAGCGCTTCCGAGAAAAATGGTCTGTCGAAAGGCATTCGTATGATAAATAAAACTGTTTATATACGTTCGGAGCCGTGAAAACTAACAGCGTGTTAAAGAACGACACACAGCTTTTTGAATTGAAAATCAAAATAAATGATCATGTTGTGGCAGTGTTTAACCTCAACACATTCCTTACACGGAATAGGGAACTTTCACTTTCGATATCATATCTGTTCCACATTGTTACCTTTTGCCGGAATCATTGGCAAAGAAAAAAAAAGCACTTGATTTGAGTGTCATTGTATTCAGTATACGAAAGTAGTAATTAGGGACACTATTTTTACGTTTCCTTCTGGAGACGGGACCGCCATTTTACGTGTTCACCCGAGCCACGCGAAGGTCTAATGCACCTATCAATGTAAACCCCGTAGGGGGGAGGGGCAAGGGGTGGGGATTTGACAAAGTTTAAAATTTTTCGATCAAATTCCCCAGGGTGGGAAACGAAAGGTCAATCAAAATTGTCAAAAAAGCCCCCACCCCAGGGGACAAAATCTAAACAAACAATGCTATAATACTATATAAAACGAATAAAAGAACATTTCAAACACGTCGTTACTACTTTTATTTACGGTTAACGGAAGCTCATTAAATTACTCGCTGTAATTAAGTATTTTCTCTCTCCACTAGCATCTCTTACCTTGAACAACAAAATCACTCCAGGAAGATTGACCGTGCTATATAATATTAATAAAACGTAAAATGCTTTATAACATCTGCTCAACATGTCGGAACAGGTCGGATCAGTGACCCATAAAAAATCCTCTGACTTTCACGGTGGAATTCGATTTCAATCGAGTTTTACAATCAGATGGGAACTTGAAGATAAAAACTTCGTCAAAATAGGCATTATCTGTTTAGATGACAGTTTAAAGTATCGGATTATGGCGATTAAAACAAATGAAAACTTCATACCTTGGTAACTGCTTCTGAATTGATACCAGGGTTCTGTCGGTCAAAGTCAAATGTCCCGACCCCGGGGTCGCTTCGCACGATCAAAAGCCCGACAGCGGGGATAGTCCCAGGCATCAAATCCCCTCCCCTTGCCCACATTCCCCCCCCCCCCTACGGGATTTACATTGATAGGTGCATAACCGCTTGCAGTTGAAGACCCTGAGTTTTGGTCCGGCCCCGGACCTCCCGCTCTGCAGTAACACGCTCTACTGACTGAGCTAACACTGCCGCGGTTAAAAACATTCCTTAAAACAATAAGGTTTCCGGTAATGTTCAAGAATCATTGAGTTGGTTATTAAATGAGGAATTAAATCCTCTTTGCCGTACAACAAATCGAAAGAAAAATACACGAGGTAATTAAGACAATGAATCAACTTGTTTCAAGAGAGTTTTCCAAGTGAAAGTTCAGTGACCGCAGTCAGTGGAGTAAACCTTAACGGCGAGCACCGTACTATTGATTGTAGAAAAGAGAAGACTCATCGCAAGGAAGAAAAGATTAATATAACTTACTCACTTTTATCATGGATCAGGCTCTTTCTCAGGGGTCGACCCTCAATTCTTTGTCATGCAGTATTTTCAATTTCCTCTTCTTTAACAGTCGGCAGGCTACAGGAGCACATGAAGGTGCCAGGTATATTTTCTTGTCTCAGTTGTCTTTCCCTTTTGGGATCCTTTTGTTTTGATAATTTGATTCTAAAGATTTGCCTGCCTGTTCTATGTCAGCATCTTTCATATTCATAAATCCGTACTGTTCTTCTTAAACTACCCGTTCAAAACTGGTCATCAAAGAACGACAGGAATAGGGTTCATGTGGCCTTCACTGTTGTCCTTCTTTCGAACAGTAATAATTAAATCGCTGATGTAAGCGACCAACTCCGATCCTTCGGGAGAGTTTCTTCTCGTATCAAAAGGCTTGACTTGTTCTGTTGCGTTTTCTTCTTTGTTGTTGTTGTTATTGTTCAGTTATCGCTTTTTATGACTCTCAATAACTTCTTTTTGTCTGAAAACCTCGAGCCATGATTCTGCAGAACTGGTGTTGTAAACGTTCGCTTTCGTTTCATTCACTTTGGCAAACCGCGGCACCCCGAAAGGCGGGAAAACTAATAGGCCATTTCCAATGGTAGCTTCGCACCATTAACGAGGTTAAGTGCTCAGCCTTATGGGAATGATTTTCATTCTCATGCGAATTAAAACTCATTTTCACGAGAGAGGCTGTGCACTTGGTCTCATTTTGAAAGTCAGGGGTTTTCAATTTAACTCGGAAGTGGACTAAACGATTTTTTTTACACTGCTTTTCGTATGCAGCCTGTGATTGGTGATACGATTTATACTTTTCACTAATAAGAAAATTGCGTGACCAATACAATCAAATTGTTTCTAATTTAACAAACCATTTTTAGTTGACATCTTTGTTTGGAGTAAATCTCAGTTACTCATATATTTGAAATGGTAAACATGCATTATTTTTTTCTCCATTGTTAATAATTTGATGGCTTATGAGGTGAACTCCGTTCAAGTAGCTGTAAGGTAAAAATATGAATTTGTGATAAAGCAAATACATCGACTGCCGGTACAGCAGGCGCAAGAAAAGCGTATAATTTGAATAGCTACTGCTACACAAGCTAATATTCATAATTTTATAAATGTGCTAATCAAGCTGATAGGATTCGATTCTTGTTATTTCTGCCACAGAAAGAAAATGTCCCGAAGTTACTGTAGATATTTTCTGACCGGTGACTTAGTGCAAAAATTTTGGCGAGATCTATACAGAGCGGACAAAAGCACCAAACTTTGCATGGTTGTAGCTTAGGGCATGTTAGTCAATATTAGAATCGGTGCCCACAGCTACCTCTTCAGGATTTGCAGCAACTGCTCACTGAAGTTCTTCAACAACCTTCCATGATGGGTACCCTGTGCTGAAAATTGCAATCCTTTTTTTTGCCATTTTTTGATGAAAATCACATAAAAAGGGAAGTAGATGGAAAAGGAAACTGTATTAATACTATTATTATTGAAACCAATGACTAAAACAAGTCAACAGAATGATATAGCAACTATGATGTACCATGGTGGGTGTCCTGTGCTAAAAATTTACCAACTCCTTTTTTTTTTTACCATTATTTTGATGAAAATCACATGAAGGACATGGAAATAAGAAAGAAATTGTATTATTATTGAAACCTATGAAAAAAACATGCCAACTAAATGGAAAATCCAAGGAAGATGTTTTCAGACGCGTACTCAGTCCCAAATAGCCTTTCAAGGTGGCGGCTGTGTCTTTTCATGGACTGTAAGTATCTGCTAGAGTAAATTGCCGTTTTTTAGGGAAAATTGTGACAAGTTGAAACACGAGAGGTTTAAGTGAATTTTAAGTTCTTCTTGGTGATAATTTGTTATCGAAAGCCACATTTTCTCTTCACATTTTGTGCCGATTATGAATGACTATACTGAGTTTATTTTCGTACTGGTTAAAATTAATAATAGTAAAAATAGCTTCTTTCTATAGCGCTCATATCCTGAGCACATGGTGCTTTACAATGTTAAAGAGGAAAAAAAATTATATCTCGAGCATGAAATAACATATATTAAAATCTATTTGCAATTCACAAAGAACAAGAGAAGGAAACAAGCTAAGAATTCATCTGTTTTAAAATTATTTTGGCTTTAAAGTTTTTATATAATGATAATAAGTCATGCAAAAAACTAAATATTCATTCTATAAGTATAGGTATATGATCTGCAGATATTAAAGAAGTTTTACAAAAGTGTTGACTTACTGTCTAAAAATTGGGTAAAAAGGTATGTTCTCAGTCCTTTCTTTCAACTGGCTAAAGATGGTGACTTGCGCAAATCTAGCTAATGGTAGTGAGTTCCACAGTTTAGGGGGGCACACTGAAAAAGTCTTTTCCCCGTGAGTTTTCGAGGTTCTAAGACCTGCTGAGATGCGGACCACAAGTTCCTGGAAGGCCTTCGATAGCTGTCCGCTAGATAGCTATGTGGAAGGTTAAGTGATCTGAAAACTGACAAAATAAGTTTAAAAACAACATGATAACTAACAGGAAGCCAGTGAAAGTCAAATAAATGATGTGTTCGCAAAGTTTACGAGTCCGAGTAACGATCCGGGGGGAGTGTTCTGAACATATTATTAAAAGTTCCTTCAAGTGCATTTTCCTACAACCATAGAGCAAGGAATTGCAATTAATAGTCTGTTTTAGATGTAATAACAGCATGCACTGCAATTTCGCTAGACTCCCGTGTGAGACACTTTCTTATCTTTGATAAGTTGCTGAGTTGGTGAAACGATGTTGTGCAAAAAAATGCTGAGACGTGTGCGTCAAACAGCACGTTGTCATCAAATACTACTCCTAGGCTTTGTTGGTGGTGGTTCTTAGCCTTGCATTACCCATAATGACGTCGCTAAAGGGTGGACGAGTACGGTACATCGACAAGATAAGCATGATTTCAGTCTTATCATGATTGAGTTTAAACTCGTTTCTACACACCAAGATTGAAATCAGTTGGGATCGTTGTCATATTTACCTAGGGTGAGAATCGAAAAGAGAGGATCTGAGAAACCCACTAATTTAACGGATCAATTATTTATGGAACGCTCCTTGACAATTTGCTAGAATTCAAGAAGGAGGACTGTGCCGTCTTGTTGCAATTAAGTTTCATATTGAAATCACTACAGTAGGAACACGTTACTGAAGTGCAAAGTGGCATCAATCCTGTCACCTTACGTCCAAGTAAGAAAAAGCAAACTAGAAAAGAGAAAAAAGAATATTGAAGCAGATCAGAAACAGCAAGTTGGAGATTGTGGCACCAAACGAGCTTGTAAGACTGACACTATAGTGGAACTGCAAAGTGCGTGCCTTTGTTTGTAACGAATACAGCTTAATATGAAGTTCAGCAAGTATAAAGAAATGTGTATCATTCTCCACCTCATTTGCTATGTACTCGGTGAGTTCAACAAATGCTCTTGATTTATTTAATTTCTAATCTTCCTCGGCCTTCCAAGCTGCTCCACTTTTCTTCTTGCGTTCCTCTGACATGTATGCCTATTTCGCAGGTCAGCCTTTATAGTACATTTTCAAGGAGCGTTCTATAAATTAATGCTTGTACCGTTAAACCAGTGGGCTTCACACATCTTCTTTTGTTGATTCTTGGCAAATATAACAACGATCCCAGTTAATATCCATCCTGGTGTGTAGAAAACATCTCAGCTTCAGAAACCTTTAACTAACCAGTAAGTTAATAAACTCGGTATAGTCATTCACAATCGGCACAAAATATGAAGCGAAAATGTAGCTTTCGATAACAAATTTATTACCAAGAAGAGCTTAAAACTTCACTTAAACCTGTCGTGATTCAAATTTTGCACAATTTCACCTAAAAAACGGCAATTTATTCTAGCAGATACCTACAGTCCATGAAAAGACACCTTCAAGCCGCCATCTTAAAAGGCTATTTGAGACTGGGTACGCGTCTGAAAACATTTTCCTTGGATTTTCCATTTAGTTGACTTGTTTTTGTCATTGGTTTCAATAATAATACAATTTCTTTTTTTATTTTCTTGTCTTTCATGTGATTTTCATCAAAATAATGGCAAAAAAAGGAATTGATATCTTTAGCACAGGATACACACCATGGTATATCATAATTGCTATATCATTAAGTTGACTTGTTTTAGTCATTGGTTTCAATAATAATAGTATTAATACAGTTTCTTTTTTCATCTACTTCCCTTTTTATGTGATTTTCATCAAAAAATGGCAAAAAACAAGTGATTGAAATTTTTAGCACAGGGCACCCATCATGGAAGGTTGTTGAAGAACTTCAGCGAGCAGTTGCTGCAAATCCTGAAGAGGTAGCTGTGGGCACCGATCCTAATATTGACTAACATGCGCTAAGCTACAACCATGCAAAGTTTGGTGCTTTTGTCCGCTCTGTATAGATCTGAGCCTTTAGCCACTTAGAATCCATAGTGACTATTTTGACCTGCAATTACTTCCATTCCACAAGGTTTGTTTATATTTTCGGGACGGGATGAGCCACCATCTCAATATCTGTTTCGCACACATGCCCATCACCTCACTGTGCCCCCTTAATATCTAGATAACACAAGAAATCTTAATAGAAAATACATAAACTCATATTTGATTGTCTTTACAGTGTATCTGGCAACAACAACCCGAGTATAGGGTATCCTGGCCACGCCCAACGGGCACCATTACTCAGCTACCCTCAACAGGGGGGATATCCTACCTCTAGGCCAGTGGTGATCGCTGATCCACCTGAGCGTGACTGCAGCTACCACTGTTTTGCTTGTGACGGTGATTACAAATGGTACGATCCCGAGGGAAAAGGTAAAACGCTTCTCTGCTTTTCACCTCACACGCGCAATAACCGTTTTCTAAAGAGCTTATGTGCCTGCCCCTAAAGACCAACCTTGAGCCATTTTTTCGATGTTCCTTTTGTAGTAATGTTAAAGGGTTTATAAGTTTCTTTTTAAAGGGTACGATGGCTTGTCTCAGCATATCTTGAATAAAACCAAGCTGATAAACAAACAAATGTTACAGTAGACTTGATCAGATGTTCTTCAGAAGTGACATAATTCTAAACTAATATTTCTTTGTATTGCATAAAAAAGGCCTAACCCTCTTAGTACTTTAGGGTTATTTGACAGTAAGGAAGGACATTGTAAAACAGGATTCAAGGAAGGGTTTAAGGATTCTTTCTTTAAGATCCAGACGTTTAACGTTTTAGTTCCACAGATGATCAATGTTATAAGATTAAACGTTAATTGTAAAGCGATGACTTAAACGTTCCTTGATATAACACTTTTACCATTACAAACGATCAACGCATTTGAGCGTTTTTCAGTCTTTTTTTCCTTTTTTTTCACCCACAGCATCACACTTGCCGTTAGTTAGGGGGTAATAGGGACCTTACGACGACGACGACCGTGGTAAAAAAATAAATTTGAGTTCTTTCAAACTTAATCGCGTCTATTTGGACCCGTTCAATATCTCAAATGCAGGCGACTTTTCCTGGAGTTGAATTCTTAAGGATTTTATTCAGGTTCAAAAAGAGGAAGGGACATTCGTCGTCGTATGTCCACGTCCTCCATAAAACGTCAAATTAGGAGGTTTCACGTCGTAGTCGTGCAGTGGACGTCTAAGAAATGTACTAAAAAGGGTGATGTACGTGCAGAGCTGTTGTTTTGGTCATTAAACCTATTGATTTTTTAAGCGGACCGGTATGAGTTCGTATCGCTCTCCATACATTTCTTTTCATGCATTTACATGGGACCGTCCTAAAAACGAACTCACAGCGGTCTGACCTCGTGTCGGTCGTTGACCCTACACGAGTTATTTTCGTATCGGTCTGAGACTGTACCGTTCTCATGTGAAACGGAAACGAATCTCAGACCGGGTCCTTAAATAGGATGTTTCTTCGTACGGCTTTATCATTTTTGCTTTTTCTTAGCAAAATAAGAACACTGCTATGAATAACTGTAAACAAGACTTGGAAATAGCTTCAATAGAATAGTATGCTTCGGTTAATGTGAGGGATTGCACCATTTTGAGATGCCGTGCATTTAACATGCCACCAGATGAGCGTTAGATAAAGTTTACAATTTTCTGGGAGTAGTAAAATCTACGGTTCTCTACTCACTGTCTTAATTGGCGTAAATTGTGTACCAGTTAGGACAGTTAGTGAATAATACGTTAAATGATCGACTGAAGAAAGTTATATAGCTCAGTACATGAATCTCCTGTTTTTTGAGTTTGTACCGGTCTCGTGTAATCAACGAAGCGTGTTGTCCCGGTCTCATGTAAACGACTGCAAAAATTACAAATTGGTACTGGCCTGAGTTCGTCCTGGTCTCATGTAATTACCCCCTTAGATTTTATGGTGCATAAATAAATGGTGTCTGTCCATCCATCCGTCTAACTGTCTGATGTCTGTCTGCGTGTCTTTTTATCTGTCTATGTGACGTGCTTGCAGTTTGCCTGTATGCCAGTCTGTAGGTATGTAGACTAGGTATATAAGTATTTAAGGGTGGGGTGGAAGGTGGACCCAAGAAGGCTTGGCACCCTTTTCATATGTTTAGCGCTTATTTCCCTCTCATAGTAATGATCTAATCAATTACCGTATTTATTCGAATAAGCGCCCAACCTCGAATTAGCGCCCACCTCGAATAAGCGCCCAGCCTCGAATAAGCGCCCACCCCTCCTCCTCCCAATCAAACTCAAATAAGCACTCACCCACCCCACCCACTTGAGTGAATAGATTCTAATAAGAGACTTCCCCGAGGACGGAGTTTTCTTCAGAGTATTTTACAGAAACCTTGCTTTGTTAATTCTTCGCGTTTTGTTATTAGCATTGATTGTTTTGTTGCAAAATAAACATACTTCACTTGCTGAAAATGGTGAAAATTTAATAAGCGCCCAGCCTCGAGTAAGCGCCCACCTCGAATAAGCGCCCACTCTCAAGGTCCAAAAATTTAATAAGCGCCCAGGGCGGTTAATCGAATAAATAAGGTACTTATATTAGGACGTACTTTATATTCCATTTATTGAGGTAAAAGTGTGTCCAAGGATAGAGCTTTACCTTATCATTAAGAACACGAATTTTTTAGTGCTCGGTTAATTTCTCCTTCTGCTCGCATTTCTTTGCCCTACTCCCCTGAATCTGAACGCCTGGAACAGGCCTTTAGCTCTGCATTGAAAGATGCTTCGTCTAAGAACTGCCTGAAATCGAAGAATTTTCTTTATCATTTTCAGGTATTTGTTGGGTGCTACTACTTGTGCTGTTCTGGCTTCTCGTGGGCGCTATTGTGATAGCACTCTTCATCCTGTACTGTGTTATAGGTACTTTGTGTGAAACTTTCTGTGGTAAAAGTGACGAGTAACTGCCGTGCCATATTGCATCCTCCTTGCAGTACCACGTGGCACTTTATTTTTGCAGACTTTCGGTTCTATTTAAACCCAAGATGGGCGCCCGTTACAATTTTTATAAGCGCTAGATCTCGACCTTACAAGAAAATAAGCGACTGTGAACAATTTGTTCTCACTAGAAATTATTTTTGCGCAATGATTCTTTGCTGTTGTACTCAGACTCTCGCATTTATCGATTGAGCCAAAATAAGGCCAACAAATATCTACTACGTTTCCAGTTTCATTTTGTAATTGTTTATAATGTTCTGTTCTCTGGTCTGACTTATGCTGGTATTCAGAAACGCCCAACCGACATAGCTAGGTAGCAAGGGTAGTGTACGTCCCAGGAAGGTACTCCGGATCGATGATTGATGATCGAAGGCAGGAGCCCATAACCCGGTGCGGGCAACTCCCATACTAGGCCTATGTCACAGCGTTTTACGGTCCGGTTTTGTTTTAGACACATTTTAGGTTTGAAAAAAAAAAACAACACAACTTAAACAAAAAAAAATAAAAAACAAAAACACCAGTAGTTTCTCTAGCAACCTTTGTGGCATTACAGGTGTGGTATGGAATCTCTAATGAAAGGGTTCCCAAGTCTCCACTAAACTAGTGGGTAAGTTGGGGAGGGAGGGTGTGTGTAAATGAGGGTGTTGTAGGCATATATAAAAAAATAAAATTGGTTAATAGTTAAATTCTTAGAAAAAGCACCAATATTGAGCGACCAAGAACTGCAATGCAGCCACGTCAACACAAATACAGTGCATTGTAAAATGTTAGAAGTTAAAAACAACGATATTGAGCGACCAACAAACTGCAATGTAGCCACGTCCAACACAATACACAGTGCAAAATGAAATAAAAGGAACTGAAGGGTTAATATATAATATGATATAAAGTTAAGGACCTTGAAGCGAGGGAAACAGGTTCCTGGGGCAAACAGATCCACTAACTTAATAACCGTAGCAAGATGCCCGCGGCATTGACACATGAAAGTACTGAAAGGTCTTGGAAATAAAAAGTACTTGAATACTTACTCGAAAATACATCAGATAGCCCCAGCAGACCAATTAACGAGCAAAATAACATTGGAAACCCCTCAGCTAGCAGACAAAAAATTCCTCTTCTCATGGATGTGGCCCACAAAAAGTAGCAAAAAGAATTTTTTTGCTGCTCACGCCATAGGTAATCGTCAGCATGATGACGTACGGAATGAGAGGAGTCCGGGGACGAACTTATCCCAGCTGAATGAAAACGAAACTAGATGAAAAAGGGGGTTACCCTACTTAAAAATAACTTTTTTAAGAAAATAAAATAAATAAATAAATAAACTGCCAACCAGAAAATATAATTATCTATAATGTTATTTCGTTCTATAAAACTTTGAAAGTAGCTAAAAAATCGGTTGCTGTTCTACTGCAAAATTAGAGGAGCATGGGGACGAATTTATCCAAGCTAAATGAAAAAAGAAAATGGGCGGGAAAAAAAGGGGGTTAAACCTTCCTTAAAAATTTTTATTGAAGATGATAAATTGCTAAACACAAAATATGATCATCTATAATATTATGTCGTTCTTTAGAACATTGAAAGTAAGGTAACAAGAAAAAAAAATTCAGTAGCTGTTCTAATTAAAGGAGGGTGTTAAAAAGAAGAACAGGGGATTCATTAAAAAAAACAACTACAACAAAAAACAAAAAAACGTCTACCATAAAAAGAGAAAGTGAGAAAAGAAATAAAACAACAACAAGAATACTGATCCTTCTGGATTAAGAACAATTCCCAGTGTTTTTTGCTATTTTCATTACAAGATCTGCAATATACAAAGGTTGGACAAGTAATCCAGTACCCAGATCAGAGATAACCAGACTTGAGAGCAATCTTTTTTTAAGGCTTTGGTAACGATGACGTTTGTCTCAGTGCTTGTATTGATATGATGTTCAAGGCGACGGCGGTGGAAGAGGAAAAAAGCGTTCAAGACGCAGTTAGAGTCTAACGATGAGGGTTGAATACAAGCCTTGAGTTTCTATTATCATCAATGATTCAGAACAAAAAAAGATAATAACAAGATTGATAGAAATGTATTACGAAAAAAAAACGTAGCAAGCGTCTTTTAGAAGTTTAGAATGTGTTCCAGATTTGTCTTTTGGGTACTGAATTGGTCAGGTGACGTGATCCGATACTGTTTTAAAGGCTAGACCCCACTTGCCTTAAATTTCCTCAACTCCTTACAAACACACTGGCGTAGCCAGACTACCTGACAGCCGAGGCAAAAGAAAGAGAAAGGTCAGTATAGTTGCAATGCCGTGAAATGCTGGAGGAATTTCGGGGCAGAACTCTCAGTGAAGGATATGGTAACAGCTTTGGTTAAAAAAAAAAACAACAAAAACAACAACAACGCAGAGGCCATGGGTTAAAGTCCCGAAATTTTTTTTAGGGTTAATTTGCAATTGCTTAAATTGCAATTACACTGCGAGGATCATATCTTCATTTAAATTTGTATTTCCGCAGTTCACATCATCTTCATTAAAAAAAAAAAAGCGATCACGACTCTTAAAATACGAATTAAGCCTTGAACATTCAAATTTTGTAGAAACAAAAGTCTGGGACTAAAGTGACGTCATAAATCCGGCATAACAATTTTTGAGGTGACGGTCTTGCTTTCTAAGCCTGTGATTGCCCAGTTGACAACAGTGTTATAATTGGGACCAACCGTCAAATGGCCTAAGAAAGCTCATTTCTTTAGCGTCATCCGTCCTGAACGAGTTGTGATTCAATTTCTCGGCAAACGGACTAAATCAACTAAACAATGGAGTCCTCCTGCGTTTACCCCGCTAACCTCTGCGAAAATGGTTACCTGATAAAGTCGTTAGACATAATTGACCAGTGAAAAGCCCCAGGACATGGGGATGTGTTGAAGTACCTATTTTAAATTTAATCATGGGCAGATAATTGTGGCCTCGTGAAAGGTGATCCAAGACATTCTAGCCGTATTCTCGATTCGATTCCGGATCACTTGTCAGTAGAATTCAGTGGCGGATCCAGGGGACGCGCCCGGGGATCCCCCCCAGCACCACCCTTATTTTTAGACCAAACTGAGGCCCGAAGAGCCGAAAAAATCTTTTTGGAGACCGCCCCCCTCCCACACTTATCTCAGGGTCTGGATGACCCCCCTTCTTATCTGAAGGTTTTAATCCGCCACTGGAATTGCATTCCGTTTTTCAATTGTTAACTGGATTCCAGATTCATGGAGCTGAATTACGGACTCCAGATTCCACAAGCCGAAAAGTTTACCGGATTCCGAAATTCGGATTACCTTACCTGAGGCGATCACTATACGTTTCTTGGGTAATTGCCGTCCTACCAATTCACTAAGCCATACAGAGATCTGTTTTTCCCGGGATGGAACGCTTCCACATTAAGACTCAGAGGAGTATAGACTGGGTACATTGCACCGAGCTCGCCGCTGGTAATAGGGACTTTAAGAACCAACGACGCGAGCGAGCGGCAACGAGAACGTCGTTTAAAAAGTGAATTTTCGTTTTTCAGTCTTCATCGCAATTATTCCTACCCACTTACTTTGCCAAATTTAGGCAAACCCTCTTGAAGTTGAATTGCTTGAGACCATACCCAAGTTCAGAAAGAGAAATTAAATTTCGTCGTTGCTTGTTTACGTTCTCCATAAAACGCGAAATTAGGCATTTTCACGTCGAAGTCGTGCAAAAACGGGAAAAGAAATGTACAAAAAGGTGTGATGCACGTGCAAAGCTATTGTCTGGCTTATAAAACCCGTTGGTTTTTTTGACGTTCTTGTTGCCGTCCGCGTCATTGGATCTTAAAGTCCCGTATTATCATTAGTAGCCATAGAAACCTTTGGTTCGCCCCTTGTAAGGGAATCCGAATTCTGGAATCCGGAAAATTTTTCTTGCGGAATCCGGGAAATTTTTCTTGTGGAATCCGAAATCCTGGGTTTTGGAATCCGGAATACAGATCAAGGAATGCGGAATCCCGCTAACGATTGGAGTCCGGAATCCCTTCCACTGACAAAGAATCCAGAATCCCGTACCTGGAATTCCGAATCCACGGCGTGAAATCCAGAATACAAGACTGTCTTAGGAATCCAAGGGTGCGGTCCTTTGGGATGATTCGGATCAGGATCAGTGATCCGAGATCACTCGGACCATGGTAGATCAAATGAACAGATGAATCCACTCTGGACAAGGATTCTTCGGTTCATTTGATCTACCATGATCCGAGTGATCTTGATGCGGATCATCCCAAAGGAACGCACCCCAAGACCGTTCTGGATTCTGGATTCCACAAGTAAACTTTCCCGGATTCCCTATTTCACAAACAAAAATTTTCCAAATTCCGGAATCCGGACTCCCTTGCATAGGGTGAGCCGAGAGTTTCTACGGCTGCTTATGATATTACCAGCGGAGTTCCAAGAAGCCTCCCCGTAGCTAACAGTATACTAGTGCGGACGTAGACATTGAAAATGAGCCGTGGACAAGATGCCGTTGTTCATATCCGAGAAGAGCGTGCAGTTGTTGGAGGCGTTCAAGTTGCAAAGAAGACGGTGATAGCTGCCACGGATGGAGGGTGAGATGCGATGCCACCTGAATTCTTTAATTTACATTGCAAAACGCGATCGACAGCACAGTAAATACCGAAGTTGAAGGGGCAAATCGAAACGTTCTGAATGTTTAAGAACTGAATCAGAAAGAATACTTCTTTTAGAGAATACTAAGCAAGTATTGTGTTGTTAAGTACAAGTGCTTAATAGTCGCCAGAGAGAAAGAAGCTGCAGGGACAATACTGTAAGACTTGCAGCAAATACATTCATAAATCTCCGCGATATGGGAAGTATTGGACCAAATGCGGAAGTAATATATTGCGTTTCGATACGTTCTCGTCTGACTGAATGTATAACTAATCACTAAATTTTTAATGCTTATAACTAATTAGTCGATCTTCATATTTTGGAGAGGATAAATGAGCGGAATTAAAATTCATTTCCGTTATTTAGCCAGTGCCGATTGTACGACCGCCTCTAGCCCTTCCGAGAAAAATGGTCTGTCGAAAGGCATTCGTATGATACTGAAAGTGTAACTAATCACTAAATTTGTAATGCTTATAACTAATTAGTCGATCTTCATATTTTGGAAAGGATAAATGAGCGGAATTAAAATTCATTTCCGTTATTTAGTCAGTGCCGATTGTACGACCGCCTCTAGCGCTTCCGAGAAAAATGGTCTGTCGAAAGGCATTCGTATGATAAATAAAACTGTTTATATACGTTCGGAACCGTGAAAACTAACTGCGTGTTTAAGAACGACACACAGTTTTTTGAATTGAAAATCAAAATAAACAATCATGTTGTGGCAGTGTTTAACCTCGACACATTCCTTACACGGAATAGGGAGCTTTCACTTTCGATATCATATCTGTTCCACATCGTTACCTTTGCCCGGAATCATTGGCAAAGGAAACAAAAAGCACTTTATTTGAGTGTCAATGAATTCAGCACGAAAGTACCAATTGGGGACACTATTTTTACGTCTCCAACTGGAGACGGGACAGTCATTTTACGCGGTCATCCCAGCCACACGAAGGTCTAGTCGCTTGCAGTGCAAAGGGAGTACCTTCATTTCTCAGTTATTTTAAGACCCTGAGTTTTGGTCCGGCCCCGGACCTACCGCTCTGCAGTAACACGCTCTACTGACTGAGCTAACACTGCCGCGGTTAAAAACTTTCTTTAAAACAATAAGGTTTCTGGTAATGTTCAAGAATCATTGAGATGGTCATTAAATGAGGAACGAAATCCTCTTTGCTGTACAACAAATCGAAAGAAAAATACACGAGGTGATTAAGACAATGAATCAACTTGTTTCAAGAGAGTTTTCCAAGTGAAAGTTTAGTGACCGGAGTCAGTGGAGTAAACCTTAACGGCGAGCACCGTGCTATTGATTGTAGAAAAGAGAAGACTCATCGCAAGAAAGAAAAGATTAACTTACTCACTTTTATCATGGATCAGGCTCTTTCTCAGGGGTCGACCCTCAATTCTTTGTCATGCAGTATTTTCAATTTCCTCTTCTTTAACAGCCGGCAGGCTATAGGAGCACATGAACTGCCAGGTATATTTTCTTGCCTTTTCCTTTTGGGATCCTCTTGTTTTGATTCTAAAGATTTGGGTGCCTGTTCAAAGTCAGCATCTTTCATATTCATAAATCCGTTCTGTTCTTAAACTACCTGTTCAAAACTGGTCATCAATTAAAGAACGTCAGGAGGAGGGTTCATGCGGCCTCCACTGTTGTCCTTCTTTCGAACAGTAATAATTACATCGCTGATGTAAGCGACCAACTCCGATCCTTCGGGAGAATTTCTTCTCGTATCAAAAGGCTTGACTCGTTCTGTTGCGTTTTCTTCTTTGTTGCTGTTGTTATTGTTCAGCTATCGCTTTTTATGTCTCTCAATAACGTCTTTTTGTCTGCAAACCTCAAGCCATGATTCTGCAGAACTGGTGTTGTAAACGTTCGCTTGGCAAACCGCGGAACCCCGAAAGGCGGGAAAACTGATAGGCCATTTCCGAGTTCCCCCGGACCTCTGTACCAAGACGAGGTTAGGTGCTCAGCCTTATGGGAATGATTTTCATTCTCATGCGAAATAAAACTCATTTTCACGAGAGAGGCTGTGTACTTGGTCTCATTTTGAAAGTGAGGGGTTTTCAATTTAACTCGGAAGTGGACTAAACGATTTTTTTTTTCAATGGTTTTCGTATGCGGCCTGTGATTGGTGATACGATTTATACTTTTCACTAATAAGAAAATTGCTTGACCAATACAATCAAATTGTTTCTAATTTAACAAACCATTTTTAGTTGACATCATTGTTTGGAGTAAATCTCAGTTACTCATATATTTGAAAAGGTAAACATGCATTATTTTTTTCTCCATTGTTAATAGTTTTCTGGCTTATCAGGTGAGCTCCGTTCAAGCAGCTGGAAGGTAATATTATAAATTTTTTGATAAAGCAAATTAATATTTACATCAACTGCCGGCATAGCAAGCGCAAGAAAAACATATAATTTAAATACCCACTGCTATACAGGCTAATATTCATAATTTTATAAATGTGTTAATCAAAGCTGATAGGATTCGATTCTTGTTATTTTTGCCACAGAAAGAAACTGTCCCGAAGTTATTGGTAACCGTAGACTGTTTCTGAGTCGACATATTAGTAAATAATACGTGAAAAATCTTTAGGGTGAACACAACTCTCAAAAACAACTCGACAGTTGGCTTTACGTGCCCAAGACCATGGGTAAATTCTCCATGGTATTAAGGAAGCGAGTGCTTTGATATGACTTAGGATCTATAGTGACTATTCTGAGTGGCAATTACTTCCATTCCACAAGATTTGTTTATATTCTCGGGACCGGATGCGTCACCGTCTCATTATCTGTTTCGCGCGCATGCGCATCACCTCACTGTGCCCCCATAATATCTAGATAACACAAGAAATCTTAACAGAAAATACATAAACTGATTTGTGATTATCTTTACAGTGTATCAGGCAACAACAACCCGAGTATAGGGTATCCTGGCCACGCCCAGCGGGCACCATTACCCAGCTACCCTCAACAGGGGGGATATCCTACCTCTGGGCCAGTGGTGATCGCTGATCCACCTGAGCGTGACTGCAGCTACCACTGTTTTGCTTGTGACGGTGAATACGAATGGTACGATCTCAGGGGAAAAGGTAAAACGCTTCTCTGCTATGTGCCTGCCCCTAAAGACCAACCTTGAGCCATTTTTTCGAGGTTCCTTTTGCAGTAATGTTAAAGGGTTTAGAAGTTTCCTTTGAAAGGGTACAATGACTTATCTCAACATATCTTGAACAAAAACAAACTGATAAACAATTAAATATTACAGTAGACTTGATCAGATTTACTTCAGAAGTGACATAATTTTAAACTAATATTTCTGTGTCCTCCTGGTGCTCTAGGGTATTTTGACAGTAAGGAAGGACATTATAAAACAGGATTCAGGGAAGGATTGCAGGATTCTTACTTTTAGATCCAGACGTTTAACGTTTTAGTTCCACAGACGATAAATTGTAAATTAAAGCGTTAACATAAACGTTCCTTGATATAACGCTTTTATCATTACAAACGATCAACACATTTGAAGTTTTTCAATCTTTTTTCCTTTTTTTTTACCCACAGCATCACACTTGCCGTTAGTTAGATTTTATGGTGCATAAAAAAATGGTGTCTGTCTGTCTGTCTGTCCGACATGGTCCATCCGTCAAACTGTCTGATGTCTGTCTACCTGTCTTTTTGTCTGTCTATGTGTTTGCATTTTCTGACTCTCTGTCTGTCTGTCTGTCTCTTTGTTTGTCTCTTGAGTAGTCTGTCTGGCTGTTTGCCGGTATGCCTAGCATACGTAGCAAGCGTTTCCGCGCGAGTTCGTCAGGAACGTTGGCACGAGAGCAAAAAAAAAGGAATGACGGGGGAGGGGGAGGGGAGGGGAGAGAAGGAAACGCTTGCCCGCAAACCCCACGATTTTGAAAAACTGCGTTCGCCCACGAACGCAGCTTTTGATTGGTGCGGTGCTGGTAGTGTTGATTACTTAGCACTCGAAACATCAATCAAACCAGGTATGTTTTGTTTACGTGCGTCGCAGATCTGGTCTGATCTTATTTGTGGTCGCAGATTACCAATGCTTTGCTCTGATATTTATTTGAATCATGTTTGTGCGAAGGTTTATCAGATCTGAGTCTCTTCGATCAAAAGTATAATTGGAGATCGAGCAGTGGAGACTAGTGAAGGTCAATTTATTGGGAATTTATTCGTGCGTATCTGACTGGAAAAAGTGGACTGTTTGTTGAGATAACATCAACGTAAATTAGAACATCGGTACTAGACACTAACAAGAGCCGCCATGGACAAGTGATTGGAAATTGAGCGGCATGTATTGAAGAGAACTTTTCGACACTGGCCAGCCTATAGCAGCTATAGAAAGGAACCGCTCTGCAAAACTCATAGCCGGCGGAGTGAATTGTTCCGGACAAATCATTTCTTTGCGAGGTTTTGACAAGTTTTCGGATGAGAGAAAGCCACATAACGTTCAAACAGTTTAACTTAACTGTAAAGAACAAGAAATTCCGCAGCAATCGCTTAGAGTTTCCACCTTCTTTTATCGTTAAGCTTCTTTTTATTACAGTTTTGCAATCGCGTGGAGCGTGTTTTAGGGAACAAAGTAAATTTTTCAAATCTGGTCATCTATTCGTTATCTATCTTGACAAGCTGTCAATTTACAAATGAACCGAACCGTGAAATATCAAGGGGCGTTTTCCATAATCGTGGGGTTTGCGGGCAAGCGTTTCCTCTTCTCCACTCCCCCTCCCCCTTCCATTTTGTTTGCTCCCGCTCCAACCTTCGCGCTACAACTCGACTGGAAACGCTTGCTACGCAGGCTACTGTATGCCCGTCTGTAGGTAGGTAGACTAGGTATGTAAGTATTTAAGGGTGGGGGATTCAGGGACGTTCAGTACTAGCAAAAACTGTTACACCCAAGAAGGCCTGGCACCCTTTTCACATGTTTCGTCCTTATGTCCCTCTCATAGTAATAATCTTATCAACTACTCTAAAACGTAGTCTATGTTAGTTCCATTTATTGAGGTAAGAGTGTGTCCAAGGATAGAGCTTTACCTTATCATTAAGACCACGAAATTTTTTCGCAATACTTTGCTTTTACTCGCCCAAATATTTCGCACCCGGTTAATTTCTCCTTTCGCTCACATTTCTTTGCCCCGTCCCCTCAATCTGAACACCTGGAACAAGCTTTTAGCTCTGCATTTAAAGATGCTTCGTCTAAGAACTGCCTGAAATCGAAGTATTTTCTTTATCATTTTCAGGTATTTGTTGGGTGCTACTACTTCTGCTGTTCTGGCTTCTCGTGGGCGCTATTGTGATACCACTCACCATCCTGTACCTTGCATTAATTTGCTTGTGTGCTATGTGTGGTGATGACAAGTAACTGCCAAATTGCATCCTCCTTGCAGTACCACGTAGCACCTTATTTTTGCACACTTTCGATCTTATTTAAACCTTAGATGGGCGCCCGTTACAAATTTTATAAGCGCTAGATCTTGATCTTACAAGAAAGTAAGGGACTGTGAACAATTTGTTATCACTAGAAATTATTTTTGGGCAATGATTCTTTGCTATGTATTATATTGTATTCAGACTCTCGCATATATCGATTGAGCCAAAATAAGGCAACCAATATCTACTACGTTTCCAGTTTCATCTTGCGTTTTTGTTATTGTTTATAATGTTCTGTTCTCTGCTCCGACTTATGTGGTCTGAATTATGCAGGTATTCAGAAACGCAGGAAGTCCAACCGACCACATAGCTAGGTAGCAAGGGTAGTGTATGTCCGGGGGGGTACTCCGAATCGATGATTGATGATCGAAGGCAGGAGCCCATGACCCGGAGCGGGCGACTCCCATACTAGACCTACGTCACCGCGTTTTATGGACTGGTTTTGTTTTAGACACATTTTAGGGCACTTTTTGCCCCGAAAATGGAATCTCCGTCACGTGTATGAACGCATTCGAAGTATAAGATATCAAGAAGGAAAACGTAATGTCATTAAAAGCAAAAACTATCCTTTTTAGGTCTGTAGGTTTTTCTGACTGGTTTGTGGGACTTTATATCCTATATTCTAAATTTGACCCAAAACTGTTCTAAAAGTAAACTGGTCCGTGAAAACGCCATGACACGAGCACCTGGAAGTTACTCGCTCTACGTTATGGGATCCTGTCCGAGGATTTTTTGGGGTTTGAAATTTTAGATTCCGGGATATTTTTGGGGAGCTAAATTTTGCAAGAATTTTTTAGTGTGGCTTGATTTAAGTAGGATTTTTTCGGGTATTCAAAACAATATGAAGATTCAGATGGTATGATGAATAAACAAACAAACACAAACAGTCAATTTGTAATGTTCTTATGTTTCGTGTTATATCATTAAATGCATTCTGCAAATTTTTAAGGCTTAGAAATTCGCCATGGATTTTGGGGGGTTAATTTTTGGTCCACGAATTTTTTGGGGTTTTTCTTTTTCCCCCGTTTGATCATCCTCGTCACTTGAAATCCGGAGTACCCCCCCGCCCCCCGCCCCCCGGATGTATGTGTCAGTTTTTATAGCTGCACTGTGGAAATGGAAGCGACATGTGGGGTGCGTTCGATTGGGAAATCTGGATTTAGATTTTAAAATTCGGATTTCGGATTTGCAATCGAACGCGAAATCCGACAACGGATTTCAACGCTGAGATATCTGTTTTTGGATTTTCATTTTTACCGTTCGATTGGGAAATCCGAAAAAGGATTTGAAAAACTGTCCTAAAGAACAGCGGTCTTGCACGCGCACGCATACTTAGCAAAAAGAAGACCACTGTTCACGAAAATAGTTTTGCAAATCCTTTCTCGGATTTCTCAATCGAACGGTAGAAAGGAAATCCATGAAATCCGGATTTGGATTTCTTAATTGAAATCCACCCTGAAGACGGATTTCGTGGAGGTGAAATCCGTTTTCGGATTTCGCGTTCGATTAGGAAATCCGGATTTAGATTTTCAAAATCTAAATCCGGATTTCCCAATCGAACGCACCCGTGATCATGCCACACTATAACAAAATCTATAACCGACTGTAATGGGTGATAAAATTGCAATTTTGTTTGAATTGTAGAATTTTGTGTCTGAGTATTAATTTCATCTTACTGAGTTGTTTAAAACCGCAGAAGATGCCGTGTTAGAAGTAATAGTCCGGTTTTGAGTTCGCTGATATAAGAGATCATGCATTGGAAGACGCATTTCTTAAAATATACTCACAGATGCGCATGCACACCTAAAATAAACACAAATGTAAGTAGTTGTACTCAAAAAACACAAATGTGAGTAGGGTAGCTAACCCTGAATTTGCGCTTCATTTTCCTTTGAACAACAGCTGGAACAACTCGCCCGTGCGAAGTATGTTGAATTCTTAGACAAGATATACTACACTCCTCCGAGGTAAGTCTTCGACCACTATAAAAGGCGTGCAAAGGAGCACTTAGCAATGTTGATAAGAAGGTCTGAATGGGGTTTAGTGTTTAGTGTTATTTGCCCATAATTTTTAGTGTTTACTGTTAAATTGCCCAATTTTTTAATGTTTACTGTTTCCAAAGAAAATACTGTTAAGTGTTTGGAGGGTATTTCGGATGTCTTCGGCAATGGTCGGACCTCTTCGTTAGTCTTCGGAAATCTTCGAAGTCTTCGGAAATCTTCTGAAATAATCCGGACTTTAACGTAAAATGGCCAAAAGTCCTTGATATACTAAACAAAACAATATCGGCCTTTTTGGAGCCGTTTTGGCTTCTTTCTGGAAAAAATTTACTGTTTCAAAGAATTTTTTACTGTTAGTGTTAAAATGCCCAAAATTTAACTGTTTCTTGTTGCAAAACCAAAAAAATAAGTGTGTAGTGTTATCGTGGTACCCCCATTCAGACCTTCTGATAACGCTCGAAATAACTCGGCGGTTGAGACCCCCCCTTCAACCGACCATGATTACTGCCTGTGGCAATCAAAATACAAGTATAGTTCGGCACTTAGTGTTAGCTTAGTTTTCTGAGATTTAGAAAGTGGAGAACTTGAGGTAAGAGGTTTCGTTAGTGATTTTGTTACTTTTATGTAACAAAATAAAAAAAACATGAATGAAGAGTTAATATAACAAATAAAGGGTTAGTATAAACTTTTCAATAACCACGCTTGAATAAACTCAACATTAATCCTCAGTTAAACAAATGGTTTGAAATAGAATTTTCTTTTGTTAAAATATTTTTTATGTTCATTTTTGAGGCTGAAACTTTCTGCAAACAAAGCGGTATTAGAAAAGTATATTGAACGTGCTGCAAAAAGGCGGAAGTGACCAGTGACACTTGATAATGCAAAACTGACGACAAAAAATGTATAGCTGTACAGCTGAGACACTTAATTGTCGAGCTACCGCGTCTTCAGCTTTCTAAATCCACACATAGCAGGATTTCAACTGGCTGGAACTCCTTCGCCACCCGTTTTTACTATGATATTGTAAAATGACATTAAAAGGTGGAATTACAGCGGGATTGCGAAGTCAAAAGACGTCATCAATCGGCCATATTAAAAAGCCCTAGAGAAGTAACAGTCTAGCGCTCTTGTTTTTTTTTTGTTTTTTTTTTTTTTCATTTGATTTTTTTTTTCATTTTCCTTTTTTTTACCGTCAGCCGTAAAAATGTTCAGACAGTTTAGCGTAAAGCGTCGAACAAAGTTCTAATTATGGGTACAAACACGACTAAATCAACTAAACATTGGACTTCTTCTTGTTTACCTCGCCCAAATTAAGCTTTTAGCAGCTCCTCCCATTTTATAAGTGAAGATCGTATACGACGTTTATTCAGGTACACATGTATATAACACACGCACCTCTGCGAAAGTGGTTCCCCAGATGCAGGATTTATCGTAGGCTGATAACTCACTAGATTCAGGAAGTTGTTTCTGGACGATGAAGCTAAGCATAGTCTGGAGTGACAGGAACTCCGGTTACGACGTATCAAAAATGGTTTTACGAAGATAACTAAATTGGATCAAAACTGAAAATTGTTATTCAAACGCTATTCAAGGTAGAATAGCTATCTCATAAATTACTACGCGTGATTAAAAAGCATAGTTCAGTTTGTTCTAAGCGTCATGATTTTTCGGGCCATCAATTTCTTTTTCAGGGTCTGACTCGAAAATAGACTGGTTCTCAAGAGTTTAATTCCTTCCAGAAGTTTACTGTTTTTTCTAATCAAAAAGGTTTTGCTAAATATGTCTCGGGGCGGGGGGAGAATTATATCACAATCTTGTTATCGATCTACGAAAAACAAATAAGAATAAAGGAGTTGGTGGCTTCAAGATTCGAAGAATTTTAAGTTTACTTATGAAGGCTTGATTTTCACTTTTACCATCATATATTATAAATGGGTTAAGGTAAAATAGCTTTTCAAAATAACGACGTAGTAATTGAGCTGGTGTATGGAATAGCAGACAGTAACCAATTCTCAGTTTACAGGGGTGGATCAAGGATAAATTTTGACCGATTTCCTAAACCGGAACGCCGAGGGCGCAAGCTTCTAGGGGGATCAGGGGGCATGGGCTGTAGAAGGCCTAAATGTAATAAATGGTCCTAAATGTAATAAAGTCCTAAATGTAATAACATTTTGTCCTAAATGTAATAAAGTTCTAAATGTAATAACAATTTGCCCTAAATGTAATAAACTCTTAAGCTGCCAATTACAGTAATTACTCGAATAAGCCATGTCCTCAAATAAGCGCCGCATTTGGAGGATGGGGTTAATTAGCGCCGCGGGGCTTATTCAAGTAAATACGGTACTAAGCGGTATTGCTCTGGTATTAAGCTCCGCTCTCAAATAAGCGCCGCATTTTTGGAGAAAAAAGTTAATAAGCGCCGCGGCGCTAATTCGCTGTAAGTCTCACTGTAAGAGAATCAAAAGAGCCGTTAATGCATTTATACAGATATGAAGTTGACCTTGTGTTCTATTGCTTAAATATTGCTTTTTTTAAAAAATACTGTCACTTTGCCGTTTACAAGCAATTTATTTGTGAACGTTAAATTTCACAGCAACCTCGTCCCCAGGGCGCTTTTCCCTGGCTTTGGGGGCGGGGCGCCCTGGGGACGAGGTTGATTTCACAGTGCATAAGGAAATGTACCGAATTTACGCGAATTAGCGCCGCGGCGCTTATTAACTTTTTTCTCTAAAAATGCGGCGCTGATTTGAGAGTGGAGCTTAATACCATAGCAATACCGCTTAGTACCGTATTTACTCGAATAAGCGCCGCGGCGCCCCACCTCCCCCCCCCAATGCGGTGCTTATTTGAGGGCGGAGCTTGTTCGAGTAATTACTGTAATTGGCAGCTTAAGAATTTATTACATTTAGGGCAAATTGTTATTACATCTAGGACTTTATTACATTTAGGACAAAATGTTATTACATTTAGGACTTTATTACATTTACGACCGTTTATTATATTTAGGCCTTCTACATGGGCTCCCACAGGAAATTTTTTGGATTTTAACTTCTTCAGGATCCCTTTCCTGGGTTTTTGAGTCATTCAGACAGGATATTGGCCCGTTCCATTCTCGTCGGATGAAGGCTTGCAAATCGTAGGATCATTTCATCAAGGTCAATTTCCATGTTGTAGTGGATATGGAACAAGAGTTCTACTTGGAAATGTTTTTAACTTAAAATACATTTCCTGAAAACATCTGACCAAGAGCCATTCCGTAAAACGGTGGAAACCTGTGTGGATCCGCGCCCGGTTTAAAACAACAAGGTCGGAAAGTATGAATATCATTGTGTCTTTCAACTTCCACAGTGACTCAAAGGAGTTTGGGCTGGGAACTACTATATATGTTTAGCCTGCGTTGCAGCCAGTCCACGCATCGTCTAGACTATTGATATAGCCCGTCAATGGCAGGGCAGAAAAACGGCTGATTGGTTGCCGTTTTCGCGGCAGTTTGTGCTCTCCGCTGACCATCTTACAACGAATCAAGTAGTCTACAAAAAAGAGCAAAGTTTGAAGCCAAATACATAGTTAACCATGACTAGTTCGGTGATTATGATCTGATATCCCCAAACTAGAACTCATTGACAGGCGATGTCAAGAGTTGTAGCGAAATCAGATTAGGAATACACTTTAGGGTGCTTGCTGAAAATGCGCGGGACAGTGTGTAGTTCATAGAAACATTATACGACCAATAGCTCTTAAACAATTTGCAAAAATAAGAAACAGGTGGAGTATTTAAGGTTCACAATTCGACCAACCAAAAGGCTAAAAGCCAAGAAGCAAAATAAGAAATACGTAAAAAAATCGAACAGTACGTTTTTCTGTGGCTTGCAGTTTTTGGTTTTTGCATCCCCCTCGCGGTGAAAACACTCGAACGTAATCGCCGGTGAGAAGCTTCCACAAATGTACAGCCAATCTTACCTCTAAAAGGATCGATCCTCTTGCACTTAGAAGGTAGATAGCAGCGCAAAAATCTATTTCCTTGGACAAGTAAAAAAAGGAAAAGATTTGTAAACATCAAACTCTTCGCCTACGGCTTGTGTCCACTTACTGACTGGTAGGCGCCAGCTTCCCGGCTTCATGCTTTGCGCGGGAAATTATGAATGAAACTGGAGACGGCGCTCGTTTTCTCCCGCTTCAAAAAGCTTCAAAAATGTCCAAAAATAGTTACCGACCGCTCCACTGTCAAGTTCCGGTCTTTTTGCGTGCGTTTCCGGCTGAAAGAACGTCCAAAGTTGATTAAACAATGGAAAATGTTTGTGAACGTGGCTCCAGATTAAGAAGCGTGTCAGAAAAGTGTTGGGGTGCCACTACTTACTATTCGGGAAAAGAGGCTGTTTTACGTGGCTACTCTAGGCCGGTTTGGCTATGTTTTGGTCATGCAAAAAAATTGCAAGTGGAAAGTCAAAGGAGGTGCTGTTTTCCGAGTGAAAATGCCTGCACGCAAAGGAACAATTTACTGCCATGTCCGCAGAGGATTCTCACCGTGGCAACAAACCTTGAAAACTACCAAGGAGGCGCATTTCTTTGCCCAGGCCACCTAAATCTCGTGGACGAAGCTCCCATATTTACCAACCACGCTCTCTACAAACCCCCTGCTACGAGAAAGGTATGTTTCTTTTACACTCAAACAACAGTCAAAATGTACAGAAACAGATCATACATTCTTAGTTTTGTTTTAGAATATATTCATATTTTGCATTAAATTTTGCCCTATACATTTGTAGACAAAATGTACTACTTCCGTCCTATGTACTACCCCAGAAAAGAAAATAACTTGGAGGGATGGAACCTCTCAGACCGCCCCTTTGCAGAGTGTTAATGAGCTAGCAGAGGGAAAACAATAAATCACCAAATTACAGCGCGAAAATGCAGCATTAAAAGAAAGATGCAACAAGCTAGAAGGTATTGTATTGACGTACTCTTAATTTCCACACATTCAAAACAAAGACGACTTTAATAGAAATATTTTTTTATTAATTTTCAGAGCCAACATTTGATGAGCAGTTCAAAACGTTCCACAAGTGTCTCACTAAACATTACAAGGATGGAGGGCAGCGGCTATACGACCCTGCAGACATGGAAAAATTTGCCAACAAGTGCACCCCTGGATTGTTCGACCGTGCCTTGTGTCTAGTCAAGAATGATGAAAAACAACAGCTTTCTAAGAAAAGACATGAAATACTGAGACTGCGAGTTGTGGCACTGCTTCATCAGCTGTCTTACTTTACAAACCAAGTGTGTATAATAATAATAAAAAATAAAATAAATAATACTACTAATAATGATAATGGTAATGATAATGATAATAATAATAATAATAATAATAATAATAATAATAATAGTAATAATAATAATAATAGCAGGAACCATACTTTAGGAAGACACTTAAATTAAATTAAACACTATGGTGTGTAATAGACATAAGTGTTGCTTGTTTGTTTTCAACAGAAAAACAATCCCTTACAACAAGACTGTGGGTTGCACTTCTTGTCCTTTCATGGTGCCAGTGATGATGCTTTGACAGCTGGCTCACTTCTGGGGTTTAGCACTCACCCGAGAAGTGTGCTAAATCATAAAAAAGGATTGTCTGGAAAAAGCATTCACAAGACACAAGCGATCGTTGAGAGTGCCATAAAGGTACATGTATTTACATACTGAAACAATTCATTATTAAACATCTGCTACTGCACAACACCCTGGCCAAAACAATAAGTTGACACAAGGTGAGGTGGCTGGATGTAAAGAAGCAGGGGCTAAATAGAAGGCGCAAGGACCTTGTAACAAGGAGACAAAAACAACAAAAATAGAGTGATGTTATTTGAACCGTGAAACAGATATTAACAAACAGTGCAAAATAGCAAGAGGTAAACAAAAGAAGACAATGGAATTAATACATAACAGTGCGTAGTATTCTTCTACCTGTTTCACGGTTTAAGTAAAATGACTCTAATTTATCAGTCCATAGATGTACACTGATCCAGTTAAAAATTTCCTCCCCAACAGAACAACAACTTCCTCCTGCTCATTATAGATGATTTTCATTGTGTCCAGTCTATAAAAGACCCCAAACAGAGCCAGCTGAGCAAGTGCCTTCACATGTGTACTGGAGTAGTGGATCACCAAGAATCTATACCGGCAATGCCAACAACAAGAAACGTCCACCGGGTTGTACCTGTCCGAATTGCTGGGGGTGCAATTGTTAACTGCCGGGGAGGAATTGATGCCAACAAAGTGAACGAGTTGTTTCAAGAGCATTTGTCAAATTATTTTACATTCATGATGACGACGACGATGATGATGGAAGTGACAACTCAGATGATGATGACGGTGATGATGATGATAGCAAACCTGATACACTAGCAAATAAGATACTCATTAAAGCAAAACAATCCCTTTTGCATCTTCCACAAAGTGCTTTATTTAAGTACAGCAACAAAAATTCGAAGAATGTAAACTCCACCGACTCTACTGGAGAAGCAGTAATTGTTAATACTAGTATGGTGTGTGTCACATGTGGCAGGGTCTGTAAGAGCAAAGGGAGCTTGACTCAGCATCAGAACACCCACAAAGGGGTAAATAGTTAAGTGTTTCCCTGAAATGAGAATAACAAAACAATAATCATTTCCTTTTTTAGAAGCAAATCCAAACAAATAATACAAGCCCTTTGTTTCATGTAAAATACCTTGAATAGGAATAGGCATGATAACACAGGAGAGAAACCTTAAACAATGCCTTTGTTGTTGCCTTTGTCTTGCTATAGGTATCTCAAAACAATGCAACTAGCTAGATAACAAATAAGTGATCTTGTGCTTGCATTTGGAATTTGGTCCATACAATATTATATGAGATCTTTGCATTATAAAAGATTAACTCAGCCCAAGTACTATGCCAGTGAGAAAAATATAGTGATAGTCCTGTCAAGAATACTAATAAGGGACAATGTGATGTACAGGAGTAAGATAGTGTCTTCAAAATATTCGATGTTATTTTGAACATGTAAATATAATAAGATTTTCACTTCAAAATACCACATTGTATATGGGCAAGGATTGTGTATAACTCTGCTAATTCTGGATACATGTAAGCTTAAAAATTCATCCTTAAAATTTCACCTTCCTTAAAACAACCTAATTTTGTACAGTAAAATCATTCCAAATCTATATCAGTCCAAAAACAAAGTTATTAACTGTATAAATCAGTTGGTATAAATTGATCTAAAGAAATTACAAATTGGACAACGCGTACAAAAAAATAATTTCGCTTCTAGCGGAACAATGTAAACAATTCACACCAAGGAATTCATTGAACAGTGTGGATATATATAACCTAGAATCAAAAGCCCATTAAACTTGAAACTCAGGTGCTATGAAGTGCTATTTTGTTTGAAAGTTTGGTTACTTTTAGCAATGGCTTCGCCAACTGTTAGGTACCGCATTATACGCCTGCACGCAGCGCACGCTGCACCGCCGCAATCTCGTAGAGAATAAATAGCATCCAATGCAAATTTCGGTTAACTCATTAACTCTGAAAACGTTCACTATGTCAAAGACGAAAAATGTCTTACCTTTAAGCTCAGTTGTGTAACTATCGGATCACCGAGACTTGTTGCAGGAAAACCAAACAATCGCGTAGAAGAAAGTTGATCGAAAAAAGCACATGGTTTGCTTGGCACGACTCCGTCCGTTTAACGTAATACAATCACAAAGATTACCTCCAAAGCGAAGCAAAACAAAATGATACCATTATATACAAGACCTTTCAGTGATGTATTTCAACACAGTGCTCTTCAAATTTCGGCCAAGCTCCTTCGGATCGCTCATTCTTTTGAACCAACTGCATCTGCATATGGTCAGCGGAAGGCGCAAGCGCATGCTCTCAGTGGAATTTTTTTTAACCAATCAGCCGTTTTTCTGCCCTGCCCCCGTCAATACAGACGGTTTAGGGTGTTTGCGACACAGGCTGGGTATACTAAATTGCCCGAGGGTTTCTACGGCTTGTAATGATATTACCAGCGGAGTTCCAAGAAACCTCCCAATATTGCTGTGGGTGGAGTATATCAGTGTGGAAGTGGGTATTGAAAAATGAATCGTGTTCATGTTCAAGAAATCGAAGAGCGTGCAGTGATTGGAAACGTTGAGGTGGCGAAGAAAACAATGATAGCTGCCTCGGATGAAGGGTGAGATGCGGATGCCACCTGAATTCTTGTTTCATACTAATGCTCTAAATGTTAGAGGACTGACAGATTTCTGGATTTGAAAGAATACCTCATTTACAATAGATAACACTAAGCAAGTGTAAATAAGTGCTTAATATAGTAACCTATTAGAGAAAGTAGCTAGAGGGCTATTACTATAAGTTTTGTATCAGATATATACGCTTCGGAAAGAAGTAATTTGTTTCTCAAATGCGGAAGTAGTATGGCGTAATATGATCTTCTGACTGAACGTATTACCGGGCTCCTGCTGTTATTACTAATTGTCACTAAATGTATAACTGATTAGTGTGATCTTCATATTTTGAACTCGATAATTCTTAGGATAATCCTTAATCGGGAAAAAATACCGTTTTCTTCATAGTAATCACAGATCGTGCGACCGCTTCCTAGAAAGATCGGTTGCCTAAAGGCATTTTATAATGACGAGTTCCGAATGGGCTCCCTAGTCCCAGGATCATTGTCTTGGTGAGTTTGTGAAAAGCATACCTTATCAATACTGGATG